CTAGCACAAGGGACGCTGAGGCAGGAGAATTATGAATTCAAGGTCTGCCTGAGGTACAGAGTGACACCTGTCTTAAGAAACAAAACAAAGCAAATCATGGCAGGGTAGGGAGGCTAAGAGAACCATCAAGCTTAGATAGCTTTATGAGGGATGGAGTCTGCACCAGTGTGGCCCTGCCTACGTCCTGGTGTTCGTCTATGCCCATCGCTGCCCTTGCCGATTTGTGGAGACAGCCATTTTGAGTAGCAGCTGTTCATGTGTGTTCTGCAGCGTGTGAGGCAGTGCACAGAGAGCCTGCATCTCAGCTGTGGGGTGCTAAAGGCCTGGGGTTGTGGGAGGAGACCTGACAGTAGTTTTCATGAGAGGGGTAGTAAGCCTCCAGTGGGAGGCATGCACAGTGGATGATGGAGCCGGAGCGCAGCAGGCACGAACCTATTTTGTTGAAACAGGCCCTCCCTGAGATCCATATCTAGAGGAAGCCCGAGCATCTGTTGGGATTGCTGAGAATAACCTGAGGGCGTGTGAGCTCCTGGGTCAGGCAGACATTAGCAGTGCTGCTGTGGGCAGAGGAAGGATCAGAAGCATCAACAGTTGTAGCAGCCTGTGGTGCAAGCATACAGTTGCCACCATGTGCCATCCATCATGTGAGATCCCAGAGGGGTGAAGGGGCAGAGAAGGGAGCTGGGGAGTCTGCGACCCTTTGCCCTCCCTCTCCTGCCAGCCCAGACCAGGGGTGGATACAGAACAACAGACGGAGGGAGACACTGGGCAGAGACGATTCAGTTCCTATGGTCTGGGGGAGGAGGCACTTCCTACAAACACAGAGAAACAGAAGGGTTAACACAGGAGGGAAGATGGAAGGCTCTGGAACTGGAGTTCCTTTCTCCAGAGGCCTGCTCTGACTCCTGATCCTCCGTGGCCAGGAGACCTGAGCTGTTCTGTCTCCTTGGTGTCCCTCTCCACCATGCTTCTCTAATGCCAGCCCTGGGCAAGTAGCAGGAACAAGATGCATTCTGTCTCAGGGCATGGCGGCATACCCCTGTAAGCCCAGCAGCTGTAATACTGAGGTGGGAGGATTACGAATTTGAGGCCAGCCTGGGCTACAGAGTAAGATCCTCTCCTCCTGCCTTCCCACATAAAAATCCCCTCTGTGGTCCCCAAAGGCCCGCCTGGGCCTCCCAGGGTCTGACTCCAGTGTCCAAGCATCCGTGATGAATCTGGCCAGAGGAGAGGAGAGGCACAAGGCAAGAAGATGGGAAACTGTCAGGGAGAGCCAGGAAGTCTAGAAGAAACAGCTGTCCCAGGCTCGAGCCTTTCTGGTGAACGAAGCTGGTGAGGGGGGCTGAGGGTGGGTTGGTGAGGGAGGGTCTCCTCATGGATTCACTACTCCTCCCTTGGCTCTGAGAGTCTCATAGCTGCCTGTCCCATGGAAGAGTGACCTGGGCTCAAAGAGGGGCCAGGAAAGCCAAGATGTAGACCGACTTCCTGTGGTTCCTGAACAAAGTGCCACATGTACTCAGCAAGACATCTGCACTCACAGTCTGCAGACTCCCCAGAATATGACAAGGTGGGTGGGCTGGCCCCTCCCAGAAGGTTCCAGGAAGGGGTCTGCACCTTTGCTCCCCAGCCTCTAGACCCAGCTTCTCAGGGATGAGAGAAACACAGGTATCAGGTGACTTGAGGACTTGGAGCTGATCCACCTGGCTGTTTAGTGGCAACTTGAGTTTTAGCACACCCCTGGGGATCTTACCCACCCACCCACACACTCCAGACAATGCCACAAACTGTCAGCACTAAGCTGTGTCTCTCCCCTCCAGCATCATTGTCTGCCCAAAGCCCATTTGGTCTTGTGTTACCAGTGCTGGCTCCCCTTGGCAACCGGGGGCATAGTTGTTTCTCTCATAACACTGGGTGGCTTCCTTTGTAGTCTCCATAACCAGCAGCAGTCTGATGGTCACATGTCCGATGTGTATCCTGGGCACCCAGCACATGCTCCAAAGATGCCTTTAGGGGAGGATCAGAGGCCTTATTCCATACGTGCTGTGGACTCAAAGGGCCTGCATCTTTTAGTTGGCCTGGACCTCCTGGCAACCCACTCTTTCTTTTTTCTTTCCAAGATAGAGTCACCCATGTAACCAGTGATCCTCCTGCCTCATCGCCCTACATGTTTTGAGTGATGGGACTGCTGGTGTGCACCACCTTACACAGTCCTGCCACTTTTATTTCAATGGCATGAGTTCAACATCACCTGCTGGCTGCCCCTCAGTCCCAGGGCTTTCCCTGGATCCACACCCCACAGACTTCCTGACGGTAGCTCCTCAGCCCCCCTCTCCATCCGATCTGTAAGATGACTGCCTCTCCCTGCCTTCTGGTCTATCTTGGTTTCCTCTATCCAGGTCAGATCCATGAGTCCTGGAACTTGATTAGCTGTTTCTCAGTTGCTCTGGGCTTTAAGTTGCCACCTCCTCTCTGGGTGTCTGAGCCTATGGTGAGGGCCACAGTTACAACTACGCCCATGCAGGAGGAATTGTAGGTATAACCATGCAGAGGGCCCAGCAAGTGAAACTAGGAGCAGGAAAGCCCCTCCTAGGTTGAGAGTGACCCATCTATGACAGACCTCACAGGTATGAACTTAGTCAGTGGGAACCCCCTCTGGAGGCTGCTGGCCCTTAGAGAACTCTCTCAGGACCAGGTCCTGCAAGTCTTGTTTAAAATTCACTTTTGCTACATGGTGGTGTCCTTGCTACCCAATGCTCTTCTTGATTGATTTTATTTTAGTGTTGGCACAATACATCTTTTTATCTATGTGTGGTATACATATGTAAATATACACATAATGTTGGTGAATTAATGATGTTTTTACTAAGTGAGGATCTGGGAACCAATCACAGCCCCTAAGGGATGCTGGAAAACTGAGCGTCACCACCACAGCACTGTGAACTAGGAAGGGTGAGTGGAGCTGAGCTGTGTGTGCCAGTATTACCGAACAGGTCCATCTCTGTTGTAGTGACAAATACCAGATGCCCAAGGATTATTTTAGAAGGTGTGGTTTTTATCTTACATTCCATGAGACATGAGGTTGTGGCTCTGTTAAGAAGCAATCGTCTTTTCCCACTTCTAGGAACTACAGTGCTTCACGGGATAGAATTTTTATTAACACTACATTTTAGCATGTTGGGTTTTCTCGACTCCTTGGGCCGGCTCCCTGGTGTATGGCAGATAACAGGAGGTCATAGTGTCTGGGGAGCCACATTAGAGGAGAACCTGTGGGCTGGACCAGCCTGCTTCTCTTCTTGGACACTTATTCATGGCTTGGGCTTCCATGCCTGTATCTGGGTAGCACATTTTCTTCTAATACAATCATATGAGAACTGAAGCTCAAATCTGCAAACATTGTGAGTGTTTTGGGAGTCAGCTTGGAGACTCCGAGGCACTGTGAGACATGGGAACCCGGCTGCTGGGCAGAGACTGTCCCCGAGAGCTGCGTTATGAAACACGGTCTTCCATGTGTTTGTTCTGGGAGATGATAAGATTATTGGGGTGGGTAGAGCCATCAAGAATAGCATTAGTGTCCTTTAGGACCTTCTCCTCCTTCATGGACACAGCCAGAAGGAACCATCTGTGGGGGTCTTCCCCAAATGGCATCCTAACTTTGGACATCCAGCCTCAGAACTGGGAGAAAGATAACTTTGATTGAAAGCCACTGTCCCCCTATTGCTTGCTCTTGTGGTTACCTGGACCACAAGCAGAAGATCTGAGAGAAGAATGCCACCTTTATCTCAGGGGCTGAGGACCACTGTTGCCAGTGTTGGGGAGGTGGTATTCATGATCCAGCCCTAGAGTCGGCATCCTGGAAGGAAGGAGGAGCAAATGAGGAGCACTCCATTCTGCCTTGGAATTCCAGCCTCTGCTCTTACAAGGGCAGGGTGGCCCCGTGGGACTCAGCAGAGACCCAGTGCAAGCAGACTTGGAGGAGTATATACAGGTCCTGGCCCATCCATCACCAGACAGTGTCCTGTGTCCTCTATGCCAGAACAGGAACCTCCTCACTCCTACTCAGGGCTGTTTGGAGCCTGAGGGACAGCTCATATAGCATGGACTCATTGGTGACCTGTCACTACTTCCACCCTGGGACAGGGATTACCCAGCTTAGGTTTCCACAGTGTGGGGTGTTTGTTGATAGAAATACATATTCTAGGACTGCCTAAGAGTGTGTACTACCCACCAGTGGAACTGAGTTCTATTTCCAGCACCCATGTCCAGAAGTTCACAGCCACCTGCAGTTCCAGCTCCAGGGACATCCTATTCTGACTTCTAGGGGCACTCTCTAATATGTAGCATATTCTCTCTCTCTCTCTCTCTCTCTCTCTCTCTCTCTCTCTCTCTCTCTCTCACACACACACACACACACACACACACACACACACACACACAAATAAAACAAACCAGGGAGCTGGCCAGTGGTGGCACATGCCTTTGATGCCAACACTTGGGAGGCAGAGGCAGGCGGATCTCTGTGAGTTCCAGGCCAGCCTGGTCTACAGAGCTAGTTCCAGGACAGTCAGGGCTACACAAAGAAACCTGCCTTGAAAAATAAACAAACAAACAAAAAGATCAGGGGATGCAGAGGTGTCTCAGTGTTAGAACACTGGCTGCCCTTTGCAAAGGAGCCAGGTCTAGTCCCCAGAACCCACATGATGACTCTCAATTGCTGGCAACTCCAGCCCTAGAGGATCCAATGGCCTCTATTGGCACTACACGTACACCACGCACAGACATGTGCAGGTAAAGCACCCAATACATAAAGTAAAAAATAAAAAAAGAAATACACCACTCTTTCTCCAGAGGCTGCTGCACTAAGGCTGGTTGGTTGGTTCCAGGAATGTTTGTTGAGTGACTGAATGAACAGTATCTGAGGGTAGACACCCAGGATGCTCACTGCAAAGGGTCCCTTCTGGACCTGCACTCAGTGCTCACCCTTTGCCTCCTGTTTCCCCCAGGACCTCTCACTCACGGGCCAAGGCTGAGGCAGCACTCACAGCTGCTCAAAAAGCCCAGGAGGAAGCGCGGATCGCCAGGATCACTGCCAAAGAGTTCTCGCCTTCCTTCCAGCACAGGGAAAACGGTGAGTTCTGCCTGAGCTGGTGGCTCTGAGGGGCAGGGCCCTGGGCAGTGGCTCCTGATGCCACCTGGGCCTGGTTGTCACCCAGAGCTAATGTCTTCCCAGTGATGTCCCTTGCTGAAGCTGATTCAGCAAACACGTGTGATTCTATAGCCATCTGCAGTGGCGGCTCAGTGCCCTCTTTAGCAAGGGTGGCCAGAGGGTTGAAGCTAGTCTCATTCAGTAACTTCTGTTGCTTGTTTCTAGTACGAGATCTTATTCTGTAACCCAGGCTAGCCCATCGCAATCCTCCTGCCTCAGCCTCCTCTGTGCTGAGTTTTATTTAATCTTAATGGGCACTCGATGAACTGCAGCCAGCCATGTATCGTCAGTGGCTGCCAGATTGGAGAATCTCTAATGAGTAGATTGTGCCATGTCCTGTAGAAGTCATTGCCCTTCCCCTCTGGGAACTATGTGAATGCTACATGGAGGCACCAGGCTTCCAGTGTGGGACAGTCAACTGGAGTGGTGGTTATGCTGTGTGCACACAACCTCAGAACACCCAGCTTTACCTTGCATCCCTCCAGCTTCATTGGGAAGCATCCTGGTCCCACAGGGCCTGGAGACAGAGTTGAGGTCACAGTCCCTCCTGTCTGCTCCCGGCTACTGTATACAAGGGTAAGAGTAGAAGGCTGAATGAAGCTATAGGACTAGGGTGTGCCATGTCCAGTCTGTGTTCTCACACAGTGATGAAGCGGCCTCTGGGTCCAGGCTGAGGAGCAAAGCTCACACAGCTGGTACTGGGCCTAGCTAGATCAGTGGGTCAAATGAGTCTTGCTGTCTGCTCCTTCTAAGGCTCTTCCCAGGACCCACTCTGGTATCCCACTGTGATCACCAGCACCTCCTTCAGGTGTTTCTGACATAAAGAGGAAGGACCACTAACTCTCTGCACAGTCCTCTCACCCAGCTGCTCCCAGCTTAAAAAGAAAGTCAGAAAAGGCCATGGTCCCCAGTGGAGGGCCTGACTACCTGAGACTAAGGTGGCTCTTGTCCCATGTGGTAGGCCACAGGCCATCTATCCCCAAGCCAGGTGAGCCACATGTAGAATATGTAGATGGACAAACATGCTAATAATTCCCATAGGTCCCCAGGCTCCAGCCCTGAATGCTCCCAATTCCTTCCTGGGGTCCTACCATACTGCCCCGAGGAGCTTTGGTTGGAGGGGATGCAATTACTGTCTGAGGCACTTGTGTGTGGAATGATGACCAAGGGATTACTCTGAGGAGCCTGGGCAAAACCCATAGGAGCCAGCCCTGGCCCCAGCTCGACTTTGGACCTCTGACTACTAGATAGCAAAAGACCAGATGTGTTGCTTTATGCCCCATGTATGTGGGCCTTGAGCACTCAGCTGACTGGTCCAGGGTACTGCTTCTGCCAGGGCGGCCTCAGCTGATAACTGCTTTCTGTTCAGAATTGTCTCCTTGAGAAACATCTATGAGACAGGCCTTCAACTCACTGCCCCTCACTGGGATGGGACAAGACCATGGGACTTGGCTGATGCAGGACCCCTTCCTGGCTGTTGCTGCCGGAGGTCTCTGGCCACGCCTGCTGCCTGGAAGCCTGCCATGGCCTCACCTCTCCAGCATTGGGTTACTACCAGGCGCCCTTAAATCCCTTCTGGGATTCACTTGCCCACATCAGGGCATTTCCTAGAATGCATTAGCAGCCAGTGCATCCATGCTGGAAGGGGACTGGGTGCTAAGTGTCCCTTTCCCTGGTCCCCAAACGCTAGCAGCTGTTGTGTTCTCTTACCAAAATAAGACTCCTGACTGCCAAAGGTCTTGTGAAGAAGGTGGCAGAACTGACATTTAAAATGGGTCCTGACTTACAAGCCCTGGTTCTAAAAACATTACCAAAGTGTTTCAGCTAGGTGCAGAAGGTTACTCTCCTATGGTCTGGTCACTTGGTAGCCAGTCTCGTGAGAATGCCTAAGGCCACAGGGATGGAAGGAGGGGGTGTAGGATGGGTCAGAGAAGAACCCAGGATACTCAAGATGATACCCATCCCTAAAGCCTGCACATTCATGTGCCTATGGAACAAGGCTGGAATGACGGCACTGGGATTATGTTGCGGTTGCCAAAGGTTCCTTCTTTGGTCTTCATAATGGTCTTCCAGGGACAACACAGGCTTTGCAGCTAATTTTAGCAGAGAATGGCTTCCGTGACAGTGGCAGCCAGGCACAAGCTTCCCTCCAAGGTGCAGGTCTAATGGGCAGGCAGCCTCACCCTTGTGAGGAAGGCACAGGGCCACCTGCAGGCTCATGCCCCGACTTTCCAGGTCCCTGATGTCCAGCCAAGGAACTCTAGTGACAAGTGCCCAGGTGCCGGGCATTGGTGGCCCACACCTTTAATCCCAGCACTCAGGAGGCAGAGGCAGGCGGATCTCTGTGAGTTCGAGGCCAGCCTGGTCTCCAGAGCGAGTGCCAGGACAGGCAAAGAAAGAAAGAAAGAAAGAAAGAAAGAAAGAAAGAAAGAAAAGTGCTTAGGCTCAAAGGTCCTGCCAGTTATCCTTGCTGGGTGACCCAATCCACATTGTCACAAGGTCTCTCTGCAATGGGCTCCATGTAACCCCATATGCTTTTGTCTTCCACCCAAGGGCTTGAGTACCAGAGGCCAAAGCACCAGATGTCCTGTGATGACATCGAGGTGCTCTCCACCGGGACACCCCTGCAGCAGGAGAGCCCGGAGCTGTACCGCAAGGGCACTACCCCTTCTGATCTGACCCCTGATGACAGCCCCCTGCAGAGCTTTCCCACCAGCCCCACAGCCACCCCTCCACCAGCTCCTGCCTCCAGGAACAAGATGGCCCACTTCTCCAGGCAGGTCTCAGTAGATGAGGAGCGAAGCGGGGATATCCAGATGCTCCTTGAGGGCCGCGGAGGGGACTATGCCCGCAACAGCTGGGGCGAGGAGAAGGCTGGGGCCTCTAGGGGTGTCCGCAGTGGTGCCCTGCGCAGCGGCCAGCCCACTGAGGACTTCCGCATCCGGGGCTCAGGCCACAAGCAGCCTGGGAACCCCAAGCCCCGGGAGCGGCGGACGGAGTCCCCCACCACATTCTCGTGGACTTCTCACCACCGGGCAGGCAATCCCTGCTCTGGGGGCCCCAAACTGTCAGAGCCAGATGAGGAGCAGCTGAGCAACTACAAGCTGGAGATGAAGCCCTTGCTAAGGATGGATGCCTGCCCACAGGACACACACCCCCAGAGACGGCGTCACAGTCGGGGTGCTGGGGGAGACCGACGCTCTGAGGATCGGGGCTTTGGGCTGCAGAGACTGAGGTCCAAGTCCCAGAATAAGGAGAACCTCAGGCCAGCCTCCTCTGCAGAGCCCACGGTGCAGAAACTAGAGAGCCTGCGGCTGGGGGACCGGCCCGAGCCCCGTCTGCTGCGTTGGGACTTGACCTTCTCCCCACCCCAGAAGTCCCTTCCTGTTGCACTCGAGTCTGACGAGGAGACTGGGGACGAGCTCAAGTCCAGTACGGTAAGTGCTGCCCACCCTTACAGGGCAGAGGCAGTGGGGCCCAGGGCCACCTCCTAGTTACTCTGCTTTCTGTGTATTTCCTCTCTAGGGATTGGGGTGCAGCAAGTGGGGTATGTACAGGAAGTGGAGATACTGTGCCATAGGTCCTACTTGCTTTAGATTGATCCTTGAGAAGGCTCCCCATGGGCTCAACTCTTTAGAAGCAGTGTGGGTGTCAATGAGAGCTCCTGGAAGTGAACCAGGCTGCCTGTGATGGCATCCAGCCCCTGACTTGTACAGACCTGTTGCTGTCAGGTGCTTGTATTCTGGATCTGGGCCGGAGTAGGGCCGAGGCCCCTCTGTCCAGACAGTCTTTCTCCCCCTGAGCATCTTTCACTTGTGCCAGATGCCAAAACTGGTAAGGGTCCAGCTCCCAAGAAGTTGATGCTGTACACATGGAACAATGGGGTGGAATCCTGCATGCCTGCCCTGCAGCCAGCCTCTAAGGTTTCCCTTTCTATGGAGCTGTAGTTATCCAAGCAGTGGGAATTTGTTAGGAATCTATAGCATTGAGGTTTCTGGGCCCCGTGGCCTTAGGAGGTTTATCATGTCCCATGGGGTGTAGGTCAGACTCCCACATGAATTCCCTTCACTGGACCCCAAGAGTAACTCTTTACCTGCCCACACACCTCCTTGTCTTCTCTCCCTGCCCCAGGATAGGCCTTTTAAAGGAAACAGCAGCCTCCCCTGGGCCAGAGCGGATGGGACATTTAAGGGGCCTCCTGGGATCTCTAAGCTCACAGCTGGCTCCGTGACAGAAGGTATGGGAGGGATGCTGGCAACACAGAAGCCTGGTGCCCTGTGTATCAGGCACCTCAGTGCCTCAGCAGACAGGCCCCCATTCACCTGCTATAGTACAGAAGACCACCCTCCAGTACCTGGGCTATATGTGACAGACTGGATTTCTGAGCATCTGGCTGTATGTATGGAGGTTGCAAGGAGCTCCCCCAGGAGTGCTCTGTGGCAGTGATTTGCATGGGTCACACACCTGTGCCAGGCCCACAGGGACCCACTTCAGGGTTCTAGTCGCTACTATAGCAGGGGTCAGTGTCCATCTCAAGGGGCCTTGGGATGCTGTGGTTTCATTCAGCAGTCACTTGCCCTAGGTGAGATGTTTCCTATGGCCCTTGATTCTCCTTGAAGCCACTGATTATCTGTCCTTCTCACTGCTGGGATTCTAAAATGTCTCCTCTGCTCTGGTTGCTGCTGGGATGGACCACAGCACTAGCTTGGGCCTCACCCTGCCAGCACACAGCCTGCTGTGCAGTTGTGCGCATGCGGAGTGTTGTGGCTATTTCAGGAGCGGCACAGCAGTGGGCAGGGGTGGGAGGTCCAGGAGTAGTTCTATATTTAGCCCACTTCACCGTGTTGGCTTTTTTGGATGTTTTAAGACGAAGCTTCTGGCTTTGAACGTATCTCAATGGTAGAGTGCACTTGCCCAGTGTACAGATGGTCTAGATTCAGCCCCTAGCACCACTGACAAGGAAAAGCAATGTTTTAGCAACACACATAACCCCAGCACTCCAGATACAGGAGGAGCACCATGAGGTCAGCCCAGCCTGGGCTACATAATAAGGCTGTCTTCTGAGAAAACATAGTGTGTAAATTGATTGCTGTGTGAACCTGAGGACATGAGTTTGATCCCTGGACCATAGTTAAAAAAAAAATCAGCCACATTGGTACATGCTTAAAACCCCAGCACTGGGGACAGAGACAGGCAGATTCTCTGTGACCGGTCAGACTAGCCCACTTGGTGAGCTCCAGGCCAGTGAGCCATCTATGTCCAAATAAGACAAGGTAGGAGGCTCCTGAAGAAACCTGGACCATCCTCTGACATCCACATGCATGTGCATGCATGTGCACACATGTTCACCCACACATGCACACACGTGAACATCCACACAATGTACATACACATGTGCAACCAAAATAAGTACCCGAAGTCCCCTAGGGTGGATATGCAAAGCATGAGTACACATCACAGGCTGGCCTTAAGTGTCGGATGGGAGAGCCAGAGGCTTACAGTGCAGGGTCCCTGTACCCTAGGGCTTCCAGCTGGGGTGAGTGATCTGGAACACTCTGTCACTGCCCAAAGCCACTCACACTCCGAGGACAGAAACCGAAGAAAGAACTCCAGCCCCACCCTGTGGTCCCAACTACCTGAGAAAGTAGACAGGGTCTCTGTAAGTGCCACTCTGTCCTGTGGGCTTGAAGGGAGGATTAGGCGAGGTGCAGGAGTGAAGCCCAGGCTTAACAGCGGATGGAAGATGAATGCCCCCTGCCTGTTTTCAGTGGTGACCATGAGTGGCCTCCAGGAGGTTGGCTGCCAGGCATCTCAAGACCTATGTGTTCCCTCCCAGTGCAGGGCTCTGTACAGTATGGCCTGTCCTGTGTCCTAGTCAGGGAAGGTGGTTTCTGGCTGGTAACATCACCACTTCTTCCAAGTTGTCTGGCAGTGGTGGGTGGATAGGAAAGACCCAGGGCTCTGGCTCATAAAGTCCTGGCCATGGTGAACTCTGTGGTCCTCTCTACACCTTCCAAGACCTTAGAAGCCTCACACTTCTCTGAAGTGGTGGTCAGAACAGGAGTCATCTGATCTAGATTTACCATACCCCGTAGCAACTGCAGATATTTTCTGATGGTAAAGTCACTTTGGTGGTGGGTGACTATTGATGAGATAGGGGCCTGGTCCCAAAGCTATCCTGCTCCTCTGCACTTTCAAAAACCTATAGGCCTGGGGCTGGAAATACCAGTACAGAAGGGTGTGGAGCAGTGGGCTTTTACTCCAGAGCTGGCATCAGAGGGCAGGACCTGCCCTTGGCCAACTCAGCTGTTACGGCCCTTTCCACTTCCTTACAAGGCAGGCTCAGCCCAGACATCACTTACACCTCAAAGTCCACACCATAAAAGCACCAGAGTTCAAAGGTGGCTCTGCCCTGGTCAAGGCCTGGAGGCAAGCCTCCTTGTCCCCTCCTGCCATGCAGAGCCTAGATCTCCATCCACTCTTGAGCAAGGTGATAGATAATAGAATGTTGGAGTGCTGGACCCAGGCAGGACTGACTACTTTGATCTTTCTTGGCTAGTCCCCAGGGGACTTTTTTTTTTTTTTTAAAGCTATGGCCTTTAATGCCAGCACTCGGGAGGCAGAGGCAGGCAGATCTCTGTGAGTTTAAGGTCAGCCTTGTCTACAGGGCAAGTTCCAGGACAGACTCCAAAAGCTACAGAGAAACCCTGCCTCGAAAAACAAAAAAAGCTTTGGCTGTGGAGGCAGCTTAGTAGTATAAAGCACTTATTTAATGTAATCATTAGCATCACAAAATTACACACACACACACACACACACAGAGAGAGAGACAGAGAGAGAGAGAGAGAGAGAGAGAGAGAGAGAGAGAGAGAGGAGAGAGGCTAAAGCCCTCTGTTTAACCAGGCATGTGGCACACACCTATAACCCCAGCATTCAAAAGGTTGAGCCAGGAGACTCAAATTTGAGTACATATTCTGGGGTGTCTAGCAAGAAATAAGGGGGAAAGCTCCCTGAAGTCTAGTCTAGCTGAGCAAACTTCTTAGTCTATTTAAAACCAATGTCTCTGGCAGACAAGAAGCAGACCCCTCTTATGTAGCGTCTCTTGGGTCTGGGACATGAGCAAGAAGGTGCATGCATGTATGTGTGTGGTCAGCAGGTTGGGTACCATGTCTACTCAGAGGATGCATAGGGCTGTGGGGTGGAGCCAGATGTGCTTGCTCTGCACACGTGGGGCCTGGCTGAGACTTGTGCAGTGCTGGCTGTCAAGGGCAGATGCAAAGCCTCCACTATGATGGGACTGTGGAGTTTCATCCCCGAGAGCTGTGACAAGGCAAGGCACAGGAGCAGGCAGCCAGCCAGGCAGGTGGCTCAGGCCCTTCAGGGCAGTCACTGTGATGAGGGTAACAGTGTGCCACACTGAGAAAGACAGAGCTAAGGGCTTCGGGAAGTGCTGGAAGACCTGGATCCAAGAGAGCAGCCTGTGGGCAGTAAGTAGGTTTACAAGCAGGAAGGAGAGGGAGCATGGAAGATTCCAGATGACCAATCGAAGAGCTTCCCACCAGGTTTGCAAGAAAGATTAGTGTGGAGAGCCCCCAAGGAGACCAGTGAGTGGCCCCGCAGGAGGGCACACTCCCTGTGCCTGAGGTGTGGACTGCTCGCATCTAGGCACCAGTGTCACGAGGCCCTGCATTGGTGTCATTCCCACTTGTCCTCTGTTCCAGGGCTCAGCTCCCATCTTGGTCGTCATGGTGATCCTGCTCAACATTGGAGTCGCCATTTTGTTTATTAACTTTTTCATCTGACAAGATTGTTGTGACCACGGAAGCAATGATGTACAAAAGGGACGTTAAAAGCAAAACAAAAAGGGAAATCCTGACTCGGACAGCCCCACAACTCCCGTCTTTCCACGGAAGAACATGATTGGGTATCACTCACAGTTTGCCTTTTTTTCTGGGTAATGTTTTTTGGATTTTAGCCAAAATTCTTTGCTTGTATAACATGATGCTGTGTGGCATGGCAGGAGGAGGCCGGCATGCCACCCCTCCAGCTTGGTGTGAAAGGGTCCCGGCGAACTAGTGGCCAAAAGATCGGGATCTTCGTGTTTCCTGCCGGGTGTGGAAGGTGGCAAGTGAGAGCAAGCACCTTCACAAGGGTGCTGGTCTAGCCAGAGGAGGGGGAGGGCAGCTAGGTAGCGCAGCTGTGGAAGGTGAGTGGCTCTGCCCTCCTGTCTGGAGTAGCTGCTGGGAGTGTGGGCCCAGGCCCAGGGACAGAGCCAGGGACAAGGTGTCCTGGCCTGTGTCTCCGTGGAGTCTGTGCTGCATACCTGTGGAGGGAGAGGGAAGCCCCTGCTCTTCTTCCCACAACAGACCATGATCCCTCTTCTCGGCACTGCCCCAATGCCCTCCTAAGGAGGCTGCCTCCCCACACTGAGTCTCACGGCAAAGTCTGTCCCTCTGCTGTCCTCTGCTCACTCATTGTTGGCCCTGTCCAGCCATCCTCCCTCCAGACCCAGGGAGGCCATGCTGCAGACGTCCAGGGCTAACACAGATCTGGCCAGGCACATCTGAGCCCTGATACCAAGGGGCTATGGCCCACATGCCCCGGACAGCCTGACAGCACGCCTGGGCTGAGCATGTGGCGTTTTGCACCTAGTATGCAGGATGTATATTCAGGCTTCCGTGTCCCTGGCAGTGACGCCCCATGGAGGACGTCACCTCTTACTGACCTCCACGGGGTCTCACATCTTTGCACTGTGCCTGCCTCGACTACCCCTAACAGATATGCATATTCCCTCCAGATGCCTCAGTGCTACTCCAGAGCGAGTCTGGTCCCGGGACAGGAATGTGGTTGAAGCCAGTGGCTTGAATGTCCTGGAGACTGTTGCATACCCAGCACTCCCCGGATGTAAAATGTAACTTGTTTCAGTCAAACAACAGGTTCCTCATGTCTCTGCCTTCTCTACCAGGGTTGTTCCCTCATCCAAACAAACGAACAAGGGATGCCAGCTCGACTGGTACCCATGGCTCCGTCAGTCTTCTTGGGTGCAGCCCATCTGTCTTATGGACTCTGCCTTGCTTTGCTCGTGTTCAGCTGTTCTCTGCTACCTTTCGAGCAGATTTCTTTACTACAGTGCACTGGATTGCTATATTTTTAACCAGAAATAAACTACAGATTAGAGCATGTTCCAGCGACACTCAGCTTTATTGTTTCCGTTACCCACCCTGTTCCCTATCCACTGCCTGTCCCTTCTCCCAGGCTGGTTTGGATTAGGGGTCGAGGTGGGGGAGAGGCTCAGCAGGTGCCCTGATGCATTTCTGGTGTTTCTAAAGGGTTCCATCTTTTTGTACAGCTTACTTTTCCATTCACTTTTTTTAATATCAAGAGGTTGCTACAGATCCAAATAAAGATTCCTGCTCTTTGCAGTCATGAGAGCTGTCCATACCGGGCTATGTGGATTGTAATTCTGTCTGCAGAGATAAGGGACCCAGTGTGCATCCCAGGAGTTGCATGGCCCAGAACAGTGCCTGCTCACGTAGGTGGCAAGTTTACTCACATCACCTTGACATATGCACTAAGCACAGCCCAGACGTGCCTAAAAGGCTCTTACAGGGGACAGCATTCATCCACTCATTCACTATGAGTGACGTTACCATAGAACCAAATCCAGTCTGGCACTCTACTGGCAGCCTGCAGTACATGCAACATGAAGTCACTTCTCTAGTCCTGTGGATTCTAGGCAGAGGTGATGGAGACTGAGACGCACACTGGGTCTTGGGCTCTAGGAAGCTGTCCTGCAGTGAAGGAGACACCTTGCTGCAGTCTGTGGCTACTGTTCTCTCATCTGTGCAGAGCCCACCTCCTCCCTGAAGGCAGAGTAGATGCAGCATGTTGAGCAAGAGGAGGATGTGGCTCATATGTAGGGACAGAACAATGTATCACTCTGGCTCCCCACTCTGGCATTGTGATGAATTAAGATTCAGCCCAGTCTCAGAAGACAGACACACTTTCTTCCAGAATGAAGAGGAATCCTTTCTAGAGGAAGTGGAAGACACCCAAAGCTCTTGGTGCCTAGAGCATGGCTATATGGCTGTTGAGCACTGAGTCCTGCACACTGAAGGCTCATGCTAGCACATATGGTGTGCATGCATGAGCCTCAGCACCACAATGCCAAGTCCGAGGAGTCCCAATGTCACAGACCAGATAGCAGCAGAGCCCAGGATAACTGGTCATGTTGGTGGTGGTCAGAAATTCCACACAGCTCCCATTATGCAAGGGTCATGTACAGGATCTCAGGGAGCACAGAGAGCAGAGTGCTTTCCATCCAAGTTTCTGCTTTGGGCTGAACTACTGACAAACACCCACACCAGGCTCCTCCCCACGCACACTAATCCCAGGAACCACAGTCCATGGCTACCTCAGGTCGGTACCCAGGGCAAGCAGAGGGCAGCCACACATTCCAGTTCCAGTTTGTTCCTGCTCACTGGCCAAACAGGTCCAGCTTAAGACAAACCACGGGGCCACCCTCAGGGAGACTGAAGACACTGCTGGGAGCCAGAGATTGCTCAGCGGCCCAGCTGCGAGCATCGGTGATGAACATTCAGGGAGACAAGGTCCTGGGATGTTGTCCTTTCTGGTTTGAGTCTTGGTTGCTCTCCACAGACCTCCAGAGCCCTTCAATGGCTGGTAGTTCTAGGCAGTAACCCCAGCACAGATATCAGGCATGTCTGTCATACATCTGTACCTACCCTGCTCCAAAGGTCTCTTGGCTTCCTCTGTAACCTTCCTCAAGAGGATGTGGGCCGCTGTCTTCCAGCTTAAGCTCAGTTACACTTGCCACTATTGCAGCCTCTGGTCTCAGGAGCTCAGCCCAAAGTACCTATTAGATTCCAACATGTCTCCACACTCTGTGATCTACTGACAGCCACAGGCCACTTGATACCACATAGCTCTGCACCATTACAATGGGTTAGCATCCAGTCAAAGGGATTGTGAGCTCTTAGCTCCACTGTCTGAGGTCCAGCTGCAAGTCAAGCACTCACCAGGACAATCAAATGTCCCCAAACACCAAGAACTGTCTGTTTTATGTACCTTGGCCTTTAAAAAAAAAAAGTATAGCTGTTTTGTTGAAATTAACAAACAAAAACAGCTGAGCTGCATTCCAGTGTGAATTCTGGGACCACAAGACCCCCCACCCCATTCCTGAGGAGCTAGACGGGGCCTTCATGGCAGCACGAGAACAAGGGCAGCACAATTATTCTCACATGGCTTAGCACTCTCTAGACCCTAGCAGATGCTCCTCCTGGAGTCTGCTTCTTCATCCCTCCCCAATGTGGCCAGGCTGAAATGCATATTGGGCAGTCTCCTTTGGCTCAGTTCCTTCCTAAACCTCAGAGAAATACTGGGTCTACATCAAGTTGGAGAGTGGGTACATTCCACAGGAGCTGGGCTGCAGGGGCACAGGCCAAGGGTTTCCAAGGTTGTCCAAACAGGCAAGGCCACAAATAACTACCTCACTTCCGGGCTGCCCTACAGCCCATCCACCCCATACTGCAGTTCAAGTTGCAAACACCCATGTATAGGGTAAGCACTTGAGACGGACTCATCTTGCCCTTTGTCCTAGCCTACCTAATGCAGATGGGTCTCAGCTAGATGCTGGTCCACTTCCCTATTGACAATGCCTGCTAGCATGCTGCTTTCTCTCTACCTTGGTGACCGTCAGCCCAATAACAGCTGACTCTCTAAGGGTGATGTCTGAGGCTGTTGAGGGTCCTATGTCCTAAAAGCACAGTAGCCTTCACGTTAGTTGCAGCCTCCCCCGAACTATGCAGAAATATAAACAAGTGCAGCCTGTGGGGTACACAGTTCAACCTTGCCTACCAAAGGGGTTCTGTTCTCTCCTTCTTGGGGTCAACATCCACTTTAAGTAGGGATATCCCAATTTACCTCCAACAGATGGCTCTCCCAGACCATTCTGGGTCCACAAGGCAGACACTTGGGTACAGGCTGAAGACTCAGGGCACAGCGGGTAGCATCAGGTGGTATGTAGCATCATTTCTCCATCATGAGACCCAGTGTCTGGCAAACGCTGCTTACGAGACCCACCAACCTGAGCACTGCCCCACTGGGAGCAGCTGTAGCTACACAAGCCCAGGTGGCTGTAACTGTCAGGGCCTACAGCTGGAAACAGGTCCACAGACAACACCCTCATACTCAGTGGCTCTCTGGACTGGCATCCTGAGTCTGTTGTTGTCCACAAGTCAGCCCTCCTTCCCAGCAGGTCAATCCTGAATGTTCTAGCTGGAGCCTGCTGATTGCACCATTCAGCACTCCCCAAAGAAAAACCACCAGATGACCCGAGGACTGTGTGCTGAGCTTCACGTGGCTACAACACTGGTGTGGATGCCTTCTTGTGACTGAATCAGTCTTCATCTGCTTTATCTTTTTCTGATCTTTCTTGGTGCATGTAAAACACCCGTTAATGCGACTGCTTTGCAGAGGACGAGGGGCTGTCAACTGAGTTTTCTCACTGGCACAGTGGCTGCTCTTGCCTTGGCCTCATTAGTTGGAAGCAGCTTGGTTAATCAAAAACTGGAAACGATTCCTCTCTAATGAATGTAATTTTAAATCAGATTTCACACCTGAAGCAAGGGACACTCAAGATTCAAAATTCTCTGCTCCTTTACTTAATAAACTCATTTGAAACCACAGGAAGCTCGTCTCATTTCATTACAGACACCTTCCCAAAGCCCCCATTGCCACAGGTGAAGGGTGGGTGGAGCCTCTACCACCTAGTCCCTCCCAGTTTGGAAAAGGAGCCCCAGTAGAACACCCTGCCCGAATGTTTCTCTACAGCTAACTCCTTGTTCCGTCCAGTACCAGGTGAGAACATAGGGTGCTTGTATCTCTCATGACAGACTCCATCTCTGTGGGCAGAAGGAGGGTATGGGACAGGAATGAGCCCTCATACAGTCTAAGCCCCCTTCCAGTCAGAGAGGGTCACCCCCATCTCCCTCATCCTTGACATGCCCTAGTGCTTCTGAGTCCTGCCTCTAGGCAGACTGTCAAGCCCTGGCAACTGAGACCAGGATGCAAGCTCAAAGAAGCACTAGCTGTCTCCAGCCCCTGAACTGTGGCTAGCTGCTGTGCTGACAGCTATCTGGGTTTCCATAGGACATGACTGTAACAAGAACACTGGGTCAGACCAGGGTGACGGAATGTTGAGTGCTCTGGACAAACTAGTGAGTCCCTTGGGAAGCGCTTTGCTCTACAGTACTAACCAACCCATGACATCAGCAGCACTTAGTTCATTTGGCACTTGAATCTGAGTGACAGTTGGCATACTGACCTCACACTCCTAGGCTGGATGGAGCCCCACCATTCTTTCACATAAAACTCATGTCTCCTCCCTATGGCATACTAGAAAGGGGTTTCTGAATGCAAGGCTGTCACTTCTGACCAGAACCAGTTCCCCTGGCAGGAAGGCTTCTTCTAGCCTTAGCACCTTTGTGTTTCTGTTTCAACATCTGGCCACTGACTTGCTACATGTAGCAATTCATTCTTAAAAAGTTAGCATAAACACCACTATGAAACCATTTAAAAAGAAAAAAAAAAATCATACTTAGGTAAGGGTTTCCAGCCAAGTGTAGTGGCACACATCTTTAATTCCAGCACTAGGGAGGCAGAGTCAGGTGGATCTTTATGAGTCCAGCCTGCTCTACAGAGTTAAGTTCTAGGACAGCCAGAGCTATATAGTGAGAACCAGTGTCCAAAACAAAAAAGAATGATAAGGGTTTCCACCCTGCTTGGTGTTTCCCTTTGTTATGATTCAACTCTACCAACCCCAAGAGATCCAGGGCCTTTAAGCAACCCCTCAGCCTCAGCTAATGGCATGAACTGGGTGGCTAGCACAGCTACTCCTGGGGGTACCACACTCAAACCCCACACACCCACCTAGGGCCACAGACTGCTGCCAGAAGTGGACAAAAAGGCACAGGTAGCATGCACTCCAAGTGACTCTGCTCCAGCAGCCCAGGCTGCACACACCCTAACTCTGTCCTGGTCACAACAGCCACAGTGATATTGGATATTCCCAACTGATGGTGGCAATGGTTGTGAAGCCATGGCCATCTTGAAGTCTGCCTGGCCTGGGCGTGCCCTTCCCTCCTCACTGTTCCATGGTGGTGACCTTCAGTTTGATGACACATAGCTCATCTCCTTATTCTGTAGAAGGAGGAAGACCTTAGAGCACACAGCCAGTTTTATTAGGACAAGAACACATATCCTACAGGTCCCACACATTCACATCTCACTCTAACCTTCTCTCAGAGTGGACTCAAGCTGCTGTGAAGACAGTGAATTCCTCATCAGGTGGCCTAAGGCTGCACAGAAGACAACCTCTGCAGGGGCCTCCTCATGCCTGGCTTAAGGACACCAGTGATGTTGAAGCCATCACTCAGTCTAATGTTTGGCCTGTGCAATGTCTTGAACTGCATCATCGATGAATGCTTTTGCCATGGCTTGGGCTACTTTCAGCACTTTCTTCTCCTTTGCATCGGGGCCCATGTGGTTCCGGGCAAGCTTCAGCCAGTACTGTTCAGTGCGGGACAGGTACTCTTCGTACTGCTCCCCAGGAGCTACCTCTGGGTGCTGTGGATCTTTCCATCCCAGAAGGAAGAATGAAACAGAGCATGCTCAGTCAGGCAGTTCAGAGGGATCAGGGCAATGCTGCACTGAATGGCAACCTGCCCAGACCCACTAGCACTAGTAAAACAGAATTCCCACAGAAGCACTGTGCAGAACAGTCACATCTGACTAGGGTTCTCACCTGCTCCCTCCTCAGCACTGTCCTCCGAACTGTCCTCTTCCTGGTCCTTGTCACCCCCCTCTGCACCCTCTTCATCAGAGCTGCTGTCTTCTTCTGAGTCCGTCTCCTCCAGCCACTCCTGAGATTCTGCAAAACAAAACCAACACAGGGTTCTGGCTACAGCCCAGGGGCCAGGGAACACACACAAGGGGGGAGCTGGCACCACCTCACAAAACCCCTTCCACTCAGGGACTGGGACAGGAACCACAACTCTCCTGCCCTTCATGAAGCCTGGGTGGAATTAACAGGACAGCACATGCCTCTCAGACTGCAGAGCAGCTTGGGAGTGATACTGTGGTGGGCATCAACTCCAGCCATACTGCCATCCTAGCTGTAGGCAGCTGAGCGGAGGCTGCCTCTTCCTGGGTCCCTATAGCCCCATTGGTTCCCAGAAGATGGTGACAGACACTGCACTATGGGCAGTGCCTTTCCCTGGACATGCAGGTTTAGTTTCGAATCTCAAAAAAGTGAATGATGGAACTGGGAGTGGTAAGTCACACCTTTAATTCCAGAACTCAAGGCAGAGGCAGGTGGATCTATTTGAGTTCGAGGCCAACATGGTGTATATAGCAAGTTTCAGGTCAACCAGGAATATTGTGAGACTGTCAAAAAAAAAAAAAAAAAAAAAAAAGATTTGGGACCAACAGCAGTCCAGGATAAAATGGGGATGTCAAGATTTCCAAGCAACGATGGATGGAGAGAGAGCTACCATCTCAGAGTACCAGCCACCAGAGGCAGTCTCAAATCCTCTCTGGTCTGCACTGAGCTGGAAGATGGGAGGCATGTGTAGCAGGTCTCACCCAGGTACTTGTACAGTGACTTGTGTTGGTACCCATGCTGCTCCTGCTAGCACCCAGAGCACATAGGCTTGTGCCAGGTGAGCCCCCCTCTACACCCCCAAGAGTCAAGAGCAGGGTTCCCTGCAAGGCGGGGCAGAGGCTTTCAGAAGATTCTCACGCCATATGGGGGTCTCACCCAACCCAGCTTACTTGGATCCATCTCTACCAAGGTTCTCCATTCTTCCATCTTGTGAAGATCAAGGCAGTAGAGGTCACTAAGGGTCACCTGGCGGTCACCAGCTTCAAACATGCCACCATAGACATAGAGTAGTCCATGCTTGACAGCCAGCATGGCATTTGAACGTGGACACGGCTCCTGCCCAGCGCTGCTGGCCTCCACAGCACTGTCTTCAGGCTTAGGTGGGGCTTGTGGCACCAGCCCAGAGGGAGCAAGCACTTGTTTGATGGTGATCACTGTCCCATCTTCAGCCACCACCTCTTTTATCACCTCCAGCGGCTCTGGGGCACCAGTTGCCCCATTCTCCTGTTCAGTGGCACCTTCTTGTTCCTCTACTTTGCCCCGCCTCCGTTTCTTCTTGTCCGACTTGGGTCCCTGTTAACACAACTCAAGCTGCACAGCAGGGCAGTGACAGCCCTCCCTCTAACATGCCAGTCAACATGCCATCTAACATGACACTCCTGGGAAGAGGAGTAGAGTAGTGCAGGAGTGAACACAGACACTCCAGCTAGCAAGATGGCAGGCTCGGAATGGACTCCTAGCCATCACTGTAATGAGGGACAGTCACTCCTGAGTCCTACACTGGGAAGCACCCCAGTCAGACCAGGCCTGACTAACATGCAAGCAGTGTTATGTCTGAGGCTTACCCTATCCATTCACAAAAGGGATGCAGACTTCCACTCCCAGCCAACAACAGGACTGGATGACAGGCGGGTCAGCACTCCACACTGATCTTCAAGACCATGTAGGACCCTCAATCATCAGCACTTCAAAGGTAGCCTCCTGCTACCTTTGACATATACTCTGTCTCCCTGGTATTCTGCAGAGTACAGCTGAGTGGCTCTGTAGTAGCCTCTGTCATCTGGCAGAACGCCATGCTCACAAGATGGCCATTTACTGCTCTATTCAAATATTCCAGCTATGACTACCTCCAGCCAACCTGGGTCAGTTCCCTGTGTCTAGACACAATACCCACTCCATCCTGAAGCTGCAGGAGTGGGGGAGGGTGGGGCGGTGAGGGAGGATATGTCTCATACAGAACAGCTCCTGAAGAACATTATGGTGCTTGAGGGACAAGTAATCTGAAAATATAAGGCTAGCCTTAACACTGGTTCAATGCTCTTGGCAATATCAGAGATCCTGAGTGGCTATGCCTGGTGGAGCTTCTCGCAGCAGGGGCTACATGTGCAAGACTGCTTTCTATCAGAGACCCTACCACAAGGCTGAGCCCATAGCAGGTACTAGTGCCTCCAGTACTGTGGGCGCACACAAAAACTCACTTGTGCAGATGCCAGGGCTGCCTGAGGCCCTCCAGGGACTGTCACCTGTTAGTCTGTCTGCTCCAGGCAGGCCCTGGGCAGTAGCTGCACTTACAAGGACAATAGAAAGGGTGACAGAAACCAGGGCTGAACTCAAGTAACAGACATTAACTGTCACAGAGAGCCGGACTTGCTTTCAATAGCTCAGCTCTGCCAAAGAGAGGTGGGTGACACCAAGAAAAATGGGCCACCAAACCAAGGGGACCACAAGCCTAGTCACTCAGAACCCATACAGAAGAGTACACGGACTTTAAAAGGCTTGAGAGTAGGTAGGAAACAACAAAGTAACATGGAAGACTCTCAGGAGTCTAGGCTACCTTCAGCTGTGCTGTGAACCAGCGACTCCTGGCAGCATCATAGACATACAGGTCATTAAAGAACGAGCCCTCCAGGCTCTCCTCCTCCTCCTCATCACACACACCCCCAAAGAACAGTATCTGATGATTTGGAGCCATGGCCACAGAAAAGCCAGACCTTGGAGTAGGCTTGACCCCTGAAGGATTAATCCGGGTCCAAGTCCATTTGCCTGTCAACGAGAACAGAGGAAGGATTAAGAGAGGACACTAAGAGCCCTGGGCACCCAGGGTGAGGATAATTGAAAGCCTTTGAAACTGTTAAAGCATGGAGCCTTACTTTGTTCCCCTTGCAGGAATAGGGGATGCCAGTCAACAACCCTCCAGGTCCATCCTTCTCAAACTTCAGCTGTGTGACAATGCCTATGCCCCAGACCCTGCTTTCTAAGGGACCCTGAGAGGCAGAGAGATAGATGTGGAGGTACCATCTTGCTAGATATACCTCACTGGGGTCCTAAGCCAGCCCACCCAGTCCTGGACTACACAACCTCTCCTCTGGAGACAGCTGCTCTAAGCTTTCCCAACAGGTGCCAAATTCATCTGACAGTGGCTGGCTATGTGGCCTGGTACAACACATGGAAAATGTCTTTCCATTACTTATGGAAGAAATAGCTGAAATTGTCCCCTCACTGAACATTAAAAAGTGCTGCAGCAGCCCAGGGACCACAGACAAGCCTCAGCCCCAAGCTATGCACTCCAAAGCCCAGACCATATTTCCTAGTAAAACAGGACAAGCCCCACAGAATTCCATATCCAAATAATGTTTGTGTGCTCTTGAGTAAGCACATATTCTTTAAAAATGTAAAGAAAAAACGGGAAAACAACAGCTCCTTCCTCTCACACCACATCTACCCGTACATGCCTTGGGGCCCCTGAGAATGCATGCACAGAGAGCCCACCCCACAGTGTCCTCCCCAGTCTTACCTCTAAGCATGAAGGCCATAACCCGAGAGTAACATAAATATAGCACATGGCTTTCAGGCAGGGGGCGGGGACACGATGACTACAAATGGCTGAATGACCCGGGCTCAGGTTCCTCCTGGATACCAGGGCACACTAAGGGCTCACCCATGTCACAAAGGCACCATGGCCCAACCACTCCAGAGAAAGGGGATCTGGTCCTTAGCGCTCTAGACAGGCAACAGGGAACTCAATGGAGTTCCCATTTTGATAAGAGGGACACACAGGCTTTGCTTCTGCCCAGAGGCTAAATACAACCCACCCCAAGGCCACACAGCCAAGCCACAGCAGTACCTTCTCCTGCTTCCTCAGGTTTTAGCAGGAACATGTCTGAGTGCTGGGTGCCTTTGTCCACGTCCTTCTTGACTCTCTGCAAAACAAAGAAGTCTTGAGATCCAGCCAGGCTGCAGCAGCACTTCAGAGGAGCTGCAGCTCCATGGAGAGCCCAGACATGGCTGACCGATTTTAAAGCCACCACCAATGGCCAGTCATGCTGGAACACTGCAGTATGCTCTGCCACAGAATTCCTGTCCAACCACAGGTCTGTACCATGTGATTCTGACCAGCTATCAGCCCTGAGGTCACAGCACACATATCTCCTACTCAGTACCCCGGGGTCCAGGCAGCTGCTTGCCAAGATCATCACCATGAGAAGGATGTCAGTCCACTTAAAAGTCTCCCTGTATTGCCTGTGCTTAAATTCTCAATTTCAATACACTTGATCTTGTAGTCTTTACATTTACAGAAAAACTAAGAGGCAGCTCAGAACCCCTGTCCTGGAATCCTACCCAGGTACATGCAGAAGCTCCACTGATCAGAGGGACCAACCAAGTCACACATTCCTCATTCTCCCTACTGTTGCTTCTCTCCACCAAGGTGCCATTCAGGACCTACATGTCCTTCAGGCTGGCTAAGCTCTGCCCTAGGGAACTACTAGTTTCCCTTTCAGTCTGTCCTACCCAGAAGGATGTGGCAGGAATGGCAGGTGGGAGGTAAGCGGGTACACGGGGACATTGTCCTTTGAGACCAAGTGCTGGTCTCAGGGTATTTTTGTGTCAAGTTGTAATGAAAATAGCAAGTCTGACCCTCTGGCTTCTGGCTCCCTAAGCTCCCCCTCTCACATATGCTCCACCACTGTGATACCATCTGCCATGAGCCATCCAACCCTAGATTTGCAGCCCCAAGCTCATTTTATAGCCAAGTGTGCCCTCATAGTCTGAGACATCTGAAATAAATAATCTCTTCTTTTAAGTCCTCAACCTGTAGTACCTTTTTTTTTAAAGATTTTATTTATTTATTTATTTATTTATTTATTTATTTATTTATTTATTTATTATGTATACAGTCTTCTGCCTGCATGCCAGTAGAGGGCACCAGATCTCATTCAAGGTGGTTGTGAGCCACCATGTGGTTGCTAGAAATTGAACTCAGGACCTCTGGAAGAACAGTCAGTGCTCTTAACCGCTGAGCCATCTCTCCAGCCCCCAACCTGTAGTATCTTATTACACTCTCAGAAATAGGGCCACTATGTGTACCACAGGACTGCTGGGCTTGCTCATCTAAATGAGACTTGATGTGCAGGAGTGTGCTGAACTCTGCTGAAAATAAAGCCATGAGAACACTACCTATAGGCATGGGGACTGCAGAGGTCCAGTAACATACTCAACCTGCAACACTCAGAGCAGACCCAAGGAAGCCAGGACATGAAAAGAGAGGCAGGCAAACACTAGGGGTTGAAAAGTTTAAGCATGGCCTCGGGAGGAACAGGGAAAGGAGACTGTAAATGTGGTTCACCCAAAACTCAGGGTATGTGAAAACAGAGACCCACTACTTTTTAACTAAATTTTAAAATATAATTTAAAAAATAAATAAAAGGAGTTTGGCTGGGTGTGGTGGTGCAAACCTTTAAGCCCAGAACTTAGGAGGCAGAGGCAGGCAGATCTCTGAGTTTGAGGCCACCCTGGTCTACAGAGCAAGTTCCAGGACAGCCAGGGCTGTTACACAGAGCTTTTGAATACAGAACTTTTGGTACACAAAGTTTTGAATAAACAAAAACTAAACAAATAAATAAATGAAAGAAGTTTGAACACAGGTGCCCTATATGTGTGGACAGTGACTGCCTCAGAAGATACAGGTTTTTAAATGAGAATCTGAGCCAGGTATACGATACCTTAATATGAGTTATTGGTCAAGTAGATCACAGAAACAGCCAAAACAACACAAGCTATTGCCATTGCTCTTGGTTGTCCACCAGACCTAGATGGCGAAACCCTTCTGCTGATACCATTACACACTTTGCTTGAAAGACAATTAAGCATAGAACTGACCTGAAAACTTCCTCTACGGCTGGCTAGCTTTCAGTGTCTAAAGATACAATGCAGGTCATGAGGAGAGAAAAGTCATCAACAGTATTACCAAAAGGTAAATCCTGAATTCCAGACAAGATGTGTCCATTGGTGAAATAGTGGCATTAAGGTTATACAGACTGGATTTGAGGCTTGCTCCACAGAAGGCAATTCATGCCTGTTACTGTAAACTTTGTCAAAGTCCCATGGCTCAGGAGGTCATAGGCCCTAGGTAGAAACCTACTACTGTTGTTCTGCTAAATGGAAACACTGCCAATCTGTCTTCTAAATATTTATGTTTCTATCCATAGATCAGTGCTGCCCTCTACCTTGGTCAGAGAAGTGTCTCTCTGCAGTGGGCAGCATTAAACACAGAGAGACTGAACAAAGGGCTGAAAATAAGTGGCTGTTGAGTACTCTGCCCTACAAGGGGCATTGAGATCACAACCCCTATCTCCTAAGGCTCAGAGAACATCACTGAAGAGGGGACAGACAGAGAGAATTTAAGAGCTGCTGTTACACTCATGAAACTCACAGCAACTGTGATCACCTGCACAGGACCTGCACAGGATCAAGCCAACAAGATTTATCACCATTCTGGCAGGCTTCGTTAACTGGACTCAGTGGGTTTCAAAACAAAAAGAGGGCATTAAGGTGGGAAGGGGCATCTGGGAGATGTCTGGGAGAACAGGTTGGGGACTGGAAGAGCTGGGTTTAATCTAGATGTACTGTCAACATGAATGAAATTGTCAAAACAACAAATAAAGGTATTCTTTAAAAAAAAAAAAAACAAAGGAAGGAAGGAGGGAGGGAAGGAGGGAGGGAGGGAAGGAAGAAAGGAAGGAAGGAAGGAGGGAAGGAAGGAAGGAAGGAAGGAAGGAAGGAAGGAAGGAAGGAAGGAACTGGAAGTTGAGGAATACAGAGCTAATAGGGCAGAAAGGACTATGTGGGAGCCTGGCAGGAAGAATGGCCACACTACATGACTGCCACAGCTGGGTGTACTGCAAGTAAACCATGTAACAGTCAACACTGACTTCTACCTGACCCTCCATACTCAGGCACACACATATGCATGCACACAAACTCACATTCAGGGATGACCCTATACCTTTCTCTGAACTCACATAAGATAACTGACAAGACAGGGACACAGATGTGTGAACACATGTGATCAGACAAGTATTCTAAAACAGGAAGGTCAGAATCTCTGGGGCATGCAGGTGCTCACTAAAAAAATTCAGGTTAACTATGTGTTTGAGAATTCTTGAAATACAAAGGATTTTTAAGGAAAATAATATGAGATAGTTTTGTTTTTAATCTCTGATTTATGGCAATGTCAGGGATAGCAAAGTACCAATGAGGAGCAAGGCAAGTGGGTGGCCAACACTTGCAGATACACATATTCCATAAGATGGCAAGAGACTCTTGAGCACTGGCTCGGGAACACTGCTACAACACTATCTGCAGACACAGGGAGAGGGACACAATGCAGTTGTTATAATGACTACAGCGTAAATACACATTGTTCACGTGGCAGTGCTCTTGGGAGGTTGGCATGACATAACCTAGGTTTAAATCCCCAGCACACACACAAAGCTGGGCTTGGCTCCAGCATCTATAATCCTAGTACTGGGAGATAAGAGATGCACAACCAACTGGCCAGCTCCATGTTAAATGTGAGGCCTGTCTTAAAACAAACAGGTGGAGAGCAACTGAGAAAGATGCCTGATGTTAACCTCTGGCCTAAACACTCACATAAACACATACACACCACACACACACAAGCACATAACTACACACACTCACATCCACACGAACACACACAAATGCATGCACATATGCACACACCCATCTCTATATGTCTAAAGAGGAGCAGAGCCATGCCACTGCAGCTCGGGGCAGGCCTGCTCACAGCTCACTGGAAGCCCTTCTTAATTCTAAACACAGGGGACCCTTACCTGCTTTGAGTAACCCCCATAGATGGCAATGCTGCCCTGGGGGGTGACAGCCATCAGGCAGCCTGACCTGGGTGTGGGCCCAGGGCCTGAAGGGGACAGCTTGCTCCACAGGAAGGTATCCAGGCTGAAGGTGTACACATCACTGTAGTAGATGTAGTCCCTAGTGAGAGAGAAGGACACAGGTCACCACAGAGATGACAGGAAAAGGCATGGTCATTAGAGTACACCAACTATACTGAAGGCAAACTTGTGTTTCACCTAGTCATCTGCTTCAAGTCTAAATCCAAATGAAAGGCTGTCCATCCTGAATGTACAAAAGAATCAGAAACAACTCAAGCCACAATCACAGGGTAGTTTACTATGAAAGTTGTCCATTTCCTACCCAAGTGACAACAGCAATCTTCATCAGGCACATTTGGCTACTCTGTGGGACCGTAAGACTGACAATGAGTAACTATCACAAGGCTGGAAACTGACCGTTTTGGTAAGAACTGTGGCAGGGATGAGCAGGGGCAGAGCACCCACCCCCCACAGCTGGAGGACAGGAACAGAGCCTTCACACACAGCACCCAAGCAGGACTGGGAGGCTCCACCTAATGCTCACTTTGCTCAGAGCCGGGGACTCAAATACCAAAGCATGCAGTACACAGAGGGGTCTTAGAAACAAAATAGGGAGGCTTGCTATCATGGGGGCAATTGTCACAGAACACACACTGCCCTCCAGCTATTAAGAATGGCTAAACTGTCCACAAAGAAGACACATGTGGAGGCTGGGACAACCATTGCTCCACACAGTGTATCTGAATAATCCAAGCCTGGAGCTCTAAAACCACTGTGAGCCCTGAAGGCTGTAGTGGGAAAGCTGGCAGAGGCAGGCTCTGCCCCCTCATATGCACAAGGTGGATGGCTGAAGCTGCAGGGGCAAAGCTGTCACAAGGCTGTCTGCCTCTTCTGCCCTGGAGAAATGCTAAGTCATGGGGAACTGCTGGTTGCCCCTCAAACCCATGAAGCCCTCTTGAATAGCACATAATAGGATGGGAGACTCCAGGTTTCTAGAAAACTTACTATAATCCAGTTTTCTCTGGTTTCAAACTCCACTTTCAGAAAAAAAAAAAAAAGTCTACTCTGAATTGAAGATAAATAACTGTCTCAAGGAAAACTCAGAATGGTGGTATTTAAAAGTCAAGCCAATTTAATACAGATGGTGATGCACAGTCCTACAGTGCATTCACTATAGGACTGTCATTTTCTCTGTATGCCTAAGTGCTTCCTAAATAGATTTGCACTTTAAAAAAAAAAAAAGATTTATTTTCATTTATGTGTACATGTCTGTGTGGGTGCACAGGGCTGGTGAGGGCACTAGACATCCTGGAAGTGAAGTTACAGGCAGTTCTGAGTTATAGACATGAGCACTGGACACTGAACTCAGGTCCTCTAGAGGAACAAGGGCTCTTACCTAGTGAGCCAGCTCTCCAGACTCCTAAAGAGTCTTAACTAAGTTTTTAAAAAAAGTTCTAATTTTAAAATGATTGCCTCCCCCAAAAACACATGAGATGGTGATCAGCAATCTACGGGTCTGTAAGAGGGAAGGGCTCTGCTGGTTTCACACAATCATGTACACAGTAGGTGCTGACTTAATGTAAGCGTAAGCCTGTGATTTCCTCACTATAGTGGCTGTCACACACTGTAGTCGCCAAGCTGTATACCCAGGAAATTAGTGAACGATCAGTGTTTCTACAGAGATCAGAATGTTTGGTCCCCGCCAGGCAGTGGTAGCGCACACCTTTAGTCCCAGCACTCTGTGAGTTCGAGACCAGCCTGGTCTACAAGAGCTAGTTCCAGGACAGCCTCCAAAGCCACAGAGAAATCCTGTCTTGAAAAAAAAAAAAAAAGAATGCTTGGCCCCATGCAACCTCTACCCTGTGCTCCAGAAGAGGCCCAATCTGCTGTGAGTACCAACCTTGTGCTTTCATGGAAGCCACCAAAAAGAATTAACTGTCGCTTCCAGGCCACCATCCGATGTCCACTACGACCTGAAGGACCCCCTGTTGACCTAAAATGAAGAGGAGAAAAAAAAAAAAAAAAAAAAAAACTATTAAGTTAGATATTTTTATGAGTTTTTTTTTAATGTTTACCTGCTGATTTCTTTGTTTTTTAAGAAAATATTTGTATTTTATGTGTGTAGGTATTTAGTTCACATGTACATTTGTGTACTATGTGGACACACTCAAGAGGCCAGAAGAGGACATCAGATCTCCTGAACTGGAGTTACAGGGAGTACAAGCTGCCATGTAGGTGCTGGGAACTGAACCCTAGTGCTCTGGAAGAGCAGTCAGCAATTTTGACTACTGAGCTATATCTGCAGCTCTTTATTTCCATTTTCAATACACTTAGTAAGTTCTCTTCATTTATCTATTCAAATTACCAGAATCACCTTGACCACCCTGCCCAATTGCAAGCTTAAGTGGAAATTCCACTTTGTTCTATCAAAGTTGGTCTTTTTTTTTTTTTTTTAAGAATCAGATTAAAATATTTCATGTCATAGAAAAATGTTCATAAGAATGTAAGACAACGGCAGGTTACAAAACACATTACATAAGATTCTAATCCGGGGTTTTGAACAGTTTTATTATTGTCTGTCTTCTACATTCCCAAGCTTTCCCCAGCGAACACACATCACTCTGAGAAGTAGAAAGGGAAGACAGAGAGGAGCGTGGGGAGGAGGGAAGCAGGAAGGTGCACCTGTCACTGTAAAAAAGCTGCTGACTGCCAAAGGAAGGCCACAGCACAGACAGCAAAGTTCACTGCAGCCTGCTCTGTAAGACCCTCAAGGGTTAGGAGCCTCCCCTCCTACTTAGGAGTCAGTGCACCAGCCACTCAGTGCAATACTCTCACTAGGCCTTCCCACTGCTCCCAAGTGGAACACAGGAAAGTCAGGCTGCCAAGGGTGGTTGGTTACATAGGGTTTTATGTAAAAATCCCACAAAGTGGGGGCTGGCTCAGTGGAGAGATGGCTCAGAAGTTAAAAGCACTTGTTGCTATTCTAGAAGATCAGAGTTCAGTTTCTGGCACCCACACTGGGTGGCTCACAGCTATCTGTAACTCCAGCCACCTGAGGATCCAATGCCCACTTCTGGCTTCCACAGGCACCAGACTTCACATTCCTGCTCCCCACACACAACAAATAACATAAAGCTTTAGATGGCACACCCCTTTAATTCCAGCACTCAGGAGGCAAAGGCAGGTGGACCTCTATGAGTTCAAGACCAGCCTGGTCTACAGAGTGAGTTCCAGGACAGCCAGGGCTACACAAAGAAACCCAAAAAAAAAAAAAAAAAAAAAAAAAAAAAAAAAAAAAACCAACTCACAAATAGCAAGATTCCTAACAAATGCATCCACACAGAAGCTCAACACTGAAAGGGTCCTGCCCCAAAGCCACCCTTCACAATCATTCAGATGCAGCATTTGACGCATACCACAAGAATGCTTGCTGAGGTCTTTCCCAGCTCAGTCCAGAATGAAGACTGTTCTCAAATGCTCTACTACACCCATCACATTACCAACATCCCTGTTAAAGTCACTCAGGACAACCAGCACACTTATGTATAGAAAGTCAACCAGAAGTGATCAATACCTTCTCCTAGACACCATGTTCTAGTCACTCACCCTTCAGGCACCCTTTTGGGTGGTCTCATACCAATGCACCTGCTACTCTATCAGGAAGGGCAAGTCTCCTTCACCCTTATTTACGATCACGTACAGGAAATCTCATTAGCTTGGGGAATACACAATTGGTCAACCAATTTATTTGCCTTCCCCTAGCTCTGTTTTACATGTAATTAAGTAAGAATGTTCTAGTGCCAAAATTCATGATTAAAAACAGCAAACATCAGTTTCCAGGCTCAAAAGAGCCAGTCTGGGGCACAACATCATACAACACACGGGCTTCCTGAGACCAAGAGGGCCATTACTGCAAAGGGGCCTCAAATGTGCACATGGGAAAGGGCCTTCTTGGGAAGCAGACCACATCCTAGGGTAGCATAGCCATGATCTGCACAGGCACAAGGACAAGAAACTGACTGCTCTGGCCAGAAACTAGCTCCCACTGAGAGTTCCAGCCACACTGCTCTATGAGGAGTTCTGAGAAGGTGCTCACTGTACAACTGAAGCAGCACACTCACACACCTAATTCTACTACAACACAGACACAGAAGAGACTTGGCATTCCCAGTGCCACCCAGTGACAGAAGTCAAGGCCACTGACAAGCTGGCTGTCTATGACCTCAGAACCATGGAGGCTTAAGCCAGGGTCCCAAAAACCTCATGAGCAGGAGCCCCACCAGATTATCCTCTGGCTGAGTCAGATGCCAAGGACACAACTCAATTGTGGCAACAGCAGTGAAATACCACTTATTCTGTAACTAAAAATAAAGGGAGGGGGCTATAAAAAGGTTCCATGTTCCCCTCTAGAAAAAAAAAGCCACCCTCCCAACAGCCCAATTACATTCGAATCTCCAATAGGCTTTTTAAATTGCCGTCAATCCTAAATAAGGAGTTTTTAAAAAAAATTAGCCTGCCCCACTCATCCAGAAGCCTATGTATAGCACAAAGACACACGCAATGGTGTGGGCGCCAGGCTCTTCGCTCCTCTGGGCTGTGCACAGAATGGCATTCCCATAGGGCATGCTGCCAGCCAGCATCACCAACTCCATCACCCGGCTGCTGCGAAATATTCATAGAGAATGTCCATGCATCAAACACCAGTGCAGGTTTAAAGAGAATGAACTGAACAGCCAAACACTCAACTCGTGCTCTCGTGTTTATACTTACGACATGATACAGTACCCACTGTCCAAGGCCATGCCATGCTTAGCAAAGGACTGAATTCTACTGGAATTCTGAGTTCAAGATCATAGGGCCCTGCCGGGCAGTGGTGGTGCACGCCTTTAGTCCCAGCACTCGGGAGGCAGAGACAGGCGAATCTCTGTGAGTTCACCAGCCTGGTCTATAAGAGCTAGTTCCAGGATAGCCTCCAAAACCACAGAGAAACCCTGTCTTGAAAACAAAACAAAACAAAACAAAACAAAACAAACAAACAAAAAAAGATCACAGGGCCCATCACAGAACAGAAACACTCCCGGCTCCCACGGTATGATCACAGCACAGCCTGCATGGACCTATGTGCAACATGTCCTCTCTTTCACAGAGCCTTCAGCCCCTTACCATACTTAGCTGTCAGCCCCAAGGAAACCAGAGTCAGGTTAGAAGCCAACCTCAAACATACCAGATCACCCTCTTAGCTTTTCTACAAATCAGTCACACTTTACCCACACGGCCCTTGCTCGTTCCTAGTACTCACTGGCACAGCATAGGTTCACACCTAACTTCTTTTTGGATCAGGTTCTCAGGACCACTCCAGGAAAACCTTACAATTCTAAGAGCCAGGAGGTAAGTCTTCAGGCATGCAGCCTACGTGGCCACAGTGAAAAGGATCAAAGGGCTTCCATTCCTGGGAACAGGGTCTTCAGACCCAAACTGTAACAAAGGACAACTCCTTGGAGGTACAACTGGTATAACACTCCTGAAAGAACACCAATAAGTGCAAGCCAGACAGACTATCCAGCCTGTTGCTGGCCGCTATCTATTGTGAAAAGAAACAGATTTCTCAGGAAAAGTCATGCAACACCACGACATTGAGACTTGCCATCATCACTGAAGTGCATGGTTTCAGCCAGCTTGTTCTTCACACAGGCCTAAGCACACTTCCTCTAGACAACAAGTAGGCCTGGGTACAGACTGAATATGGGGTCCCTCCTCATTCAGGAGAGACAAACAGCACATACAGACAACACACACTTTTACACTTCTAACCAATTTTCTTATCTACTGAAGGCATAATGCATATGAAAAGGTAGAAATAACCCAAGTGCCCCTCAACAGATGAATGGATCAGTGGTCTGTGGAATAAAACACTGGCACACACTCCAGCATGGTGAACTTGAAAAACCTCACACTGAGAAATACAGCCAGACATTGAAGACCACAATATTTCAGGATTCCATTTACAGCCAGAGGCAAGTGGATCTCTTCGAGTTCAAGGCCAGCCTGGTCTACAGAGGACAGCTAGAGCTGTTACACTGAGAACCCTGTCTCGACCTCGCCCATACACACACACACACACACACACAAAAAGCCTACTGCAATGGGCATTAAGGCTCATGTTCTCAATATTACCATCAGGAGGCTGAGGCATGAGGACTGCCCTGAGTTCAAGGCCAGCCTGGCCTAGAGAGTGAAATTCTGTCTCAAAATCAAATAAACCAAACAAAACCAGATGGAAACAAGCAACAACAAACTATTAAGAGCACTCTGTGGCAGCATGGCCTCAGTCCTTCCCATGCTGTACACATACCCAACAAGGGGCATGGTTTCTTGTTGTCCTGGTAGGCTCGGACTTGGGTGGGTGTGCGTGCGTGCGTGCGTGCGTGCGTGCGTGCGTGCGTGCGTGCGTGGTGGGGTACTAGTAGCACATGAACTAGTGATGTATCACAGACCATGGTTCTAAGTCAGCCACTTGCAGGTGAAACAGGAGGGAGGAGGCCACTCTCCCAGCGCCCCCCCCCCCATACCCCTCTACTGCAGGGGAGTTCAGCCCTGCCCTGGTGCCTGCCTACCTTTCTTCAGATTCGAATTTGTGCATACAGATCAGAGAAAAATCACAGAGTCTACACTGCCAAATCAGGATCAGGCCAGCTCTATATACATCAGGCACTCTGCAGGCACCTCTCATTCAAGACAGAGCCTGAGGAATCTCCAAAAAGTGCTTAGAACTGGTGTGTCCCCAGTACATGATGGACAATGGAGCTTGTCTTCCTGGGAGACAGCAATGCTACTTCTCTTCTAACTTCAATTGCTATGACAAATGTCATTTGTCTGCTGACTGTCAACATCCACAGAAACATGCTGTATGCCGTAATGCAGGAAAGCAGACTAGAGACACTACACTGCCCTTGATGCAACAATAGTCTCTTGTGAGCTGCTGGGTAATATCAATTAGCACTGGAGGTAGGAATATGCTTGCCAGCCAAGCCATATTAAAGAGGTATAAACATATGGCTTAACAGTAGTAGCCAAATACCCACCTGGTTCTGCCTCCCAAGTGCTAGGATTAATGCCGTGCACCACCACCCAGCATAATTTTTTTGTATTTTTATTTATTTTATTTTAGGAATGTGTGCACATACCACAGAATGCATGTGGGAGTCAGAGGACAGCCTGAGGAAGTCAGCTCTCTCCTTCCACTGTGTAGGTCCCAGGGACTGAACTCAGGTACTCAAGTTTGGCAGCAGGCAACTTTTATCTGCCGAGTATCTTGACACTGCCCCCTTTCTTTGGCAGATTTTTATAGACACTTTTGTTTGTTTGTTTTTTGAGACAGGGTTTCTCTGTGAAGCAATCCTGGCTTTCCTGGAACTCACTCTGTAGACCATACTGGCCTTGAACTCGGAGATCTGCCTGCCTGACTCCCATGAGATTAAAGGTGTGTGAAATCACCACTGGTTTATGAAAACTTTTATATAAAATGTAATGAACTTGTACAGATTTCTAACAGAAATAAACAAGTAAATAATAAGCTAAGCATAGTAGCATGTGCCTAAATAGAAGCCCTTTTGGGAGATGGAAATAGGACCATCTCAAGATCAGCTACACAGTGAAATTCCAAGCCAGCCTGTGCTACACAGCAAGATCAATCTGCTGTGAGAGAAGGGGGGAGGGGGCCCAGTGAAAAAGAGAACTTGCTGTGCAAGCACAAGGACCTGCATTTAATTCTCCCGACACCCATGAAAAAAGACAGATTGGCCACATAGGTTTGTAAACCAAGTTGTGGGAAGAGGTAGGAGCAGGAGGATGCTCAGAAATGTTGGCAGACAGCTTAGCTCCAGGTTCAGTGAGAGACCCTGTCTCAAAAGAACTAAGGTGAAAGAAAATAGAGCAGGACACTCAACATACTCCTCTGGTCTGCATGAGCCTGCACGGCACACACACACACACCCTAAAACCCAACATATTAAGCACACCCAGATCAGAGGCTAATCTCTGATTCATCTCATATCCAAATGGAGGATTCCATCTGAATTGACTGGTGTCTGGGTGGAAAGCACAGAAAGAACTTTGCCCTCCCTGAACTGCTGGGTGCTTCCTTACATACTGCAGACCCAACACCGAAACAAGTCTCCCCTGGCTAAACGCCATCCTAGACAGGGTACCATCCTACTCCTGTTGGACAAATCCTCCACAGTTCTGGAAGGCTCATTCCAAGCACCACCAAGGCCAGAATCAGAATCATAAGACTCGGTACTGTGACTGGCTTCCAGATCTTTCTATCAAGTCAGACAAGAAAACTGCTCACGCAGTAAGACTGCCACAGCTGTGGTGTCTGTCACAGTGATGAGGTCAGGAGGGCAGCCACAAAATGGAAAAGCCCCAAAGTAGGCATGGTGACCCATGACTTTAATCCCGGTAGAGGTAATGAGTTTGAGGCCAGCCTGGTCTACAAAGAGAGTTCCAGTCTAGCCAGAGCTGCCAGAAGGATCAGGCCAGATCCTTCAGGAAAGAAAAGCCCTGAAACACCCCAAACCAAAAGAGTATAAGAGACCAGGCCTCTCGGGATCTGGGGCCTGCACCTGAGTGGAGACATGAGCACTTCCATCAAGGTCCTCAGACATTGTTCTTTTGCATTTAATCAGGGGCCTTAAACACGAGTCAGGCTCAAATCAACACAAGGGATATGAATATCATAGATCCCTGGCACAGTGACACTGATTAGAGACAGAAAGCAACTACCAGGCATGTGCACAGCAGGGTACAGCTGTATAGTGCTCGCTCACTCCGGACTTCCACACCCAAACGAGCTCAGCTCCAGGAACAGATCTGACTGGGGAGTCAAGGGAATGAATCAAAGACAGACACAGACACAAAATCTGGGATTAAGTGGACTGGGATCTCTGATGGGGAAACCACAGCACCCAGAAGCTCAGAGTGCTTATTATATGGAGTTGAACAGGGAGACAGGGCTATTGCACACAGCTGAACAAGCAGGTGGGGTTATTACACACAGAGAAGCCAGGAAGTGGGTTTTGTGGTAGAGAGCTGGATCAAGGACACTGGTTTAGCTAATCTCAGGATCAACATGTTGTCTTGTGAATATCTGGGGGAAGAAAGCTATGGTGGGCATTTCTCCATTACATTATTACCATCTACATATGGATCAGAGGAAGAAATTACTACCCTTCTCTGAGCCTCACCTCAGGGGTGTGGGGCTTTTCATTCTTCCATGGGTCAAAGGCTATGGTGCCCTTCACTTGGCTGTGCCCATATCAACAAAGCACATTTTTGGGGGGAGGTGGTTTTTTGAGACAAGGTTTCTCTGTGTAGCTTTGGAGTCTGTCCTGGCACTCGGCTGTGTAGACTAGGCTGGTGTGGAACTCACGGAGATCCGCCTGCCTCTGCTTCCTGAGTGCTAGATTCAAGATGTGCACCACCATCACCTGGCAACAATGCATATTTTACTTAGGCACTTAGGACTTTGGGCTTCCTAAAGGGGCCAAGAATGACTTGTGAAACACCCACTACACCTGGTTATAAGGCAAATTTCTCAAAGCACATTCCACTGGGTCTGCATCAGCACACTCTCCCTTGATAATGCCAGAGGCCATGCTGAGTCTCAAACTGTTGGCAGAGGACTTGGACAAAAAAAAAAAAAAAGCAGCAGCAAAGCACATAAATAATCGCCTTTCTACCTGCATGAGTCTGCAGCTGAAACTGAGGGGTCAGAAATGACAACTAAGCCATGGGTGGTGGTGTGTGACTGTAATGCCAGCATTTAGGAGATGGAGGCAAGAGGATCAGGAGTTAAAGGCACCTGAACATTCTTTCCAGTGACAGACACATCCCTTCCAGTGAGAGTCCTGGGACCAGGAGACTCTGGCCCCTGCCTAATTCTGGTTAACTGCTTCATTAGCAGAGAGAACAGTATCCTTACACTGTGGCATGCACATCCCTGGCAACAGGGCTTGGAAGCACCAAAGAAGATGAAATCAGTAAGTCTGCTGGCAACTGGCCATTCTTCCAGGCTCCTTTCTGCAGCAATTCTTTCAGATACAGTAAGACAGACAGACACACAGCAGAGGGTCCCAGCAGAGAGAATCAGGCAACAGCACGGCAAGCCTAGCTTCCTGGGAACTATGAAGGTTCCTCCCTCCTATGAACAGCTCTGCTATTTCTACATCTGTCTGACACAGGGCCATCTCCTGGTCTTATAATGACAGATCCATCTGCAACAGGCCTGAACCTACACAGGAGGAGCTGCATGGAAAGGGTGACTCAGGTCTGACACAAAGCTCACTGCTCACCACCCCCAAACAATGCCTCCAGCAAAGCCCTTGCCCCACCACACAGGAAAGCACCATGCATCCTCCCTGTCCCAACCCATAACTCAAACTCAATCAAGAACACAAAGTGAAGTCAGGGTACAGGCTCCCATCCAGAATCTTACCGAATCTGTTCCCAGGTCTTGGTAGCCAAGTGCAGGACCCAGAGGTCCTTGTAATGGTAGAACTGCTCACCATCAGGAGATGCAAACTCTCCACCAAAGACCCACAGCTGCCCTCCACCCTGGGGCACCACCACAGCCTGTTAGAAGAAAGCAAACAGATTACGTGAGCCATGGGACAGCACAGATGGCTCCAGCATGACAAGCAGCATCAGCACCATCCACCCATAATCTCAGGGACTCTCTTAGCCATGGCCTCCTGCCTCCAAGGAAAAGGTTCTAGAACAAACTTCCCTAGGCATATTAATTATACTCAAAGTCCTAACACATCCATGTTTCAGACAACGTGCTTTCCTGAGCAAGTTCATGTAAGTTTTCAATGGGCAAATACCATTTGTTTATTAAGTCACCACAAGGAAGTGCTTCAGTGCTGTGTTTATTTCTTGTTAGTTGTGTGTACGTGAGGTGTATGCATGTGTGAGAGTGTGGGGTATAAACATGTGTGAGGTGTATGTATGCACATGTGTATGTAAAGCATATGCACTTGTGTGATGAATATTCAGAGGTGTAAGGTGTATGCACATGTATCTGAGGCACATGCATGTGTGTGGCACATGCATGTGAAGTATGTGGGCATGTATGAGTACATGAGATGTATGCACATGTATACATGACTGCACATACACGTATATGAGTGTACTGAGATTGCATGCACATGTATATGAGGTGTGTGTAAGACATATGCACATGTGTGGATGTGAGGCGTGTTTACATGCATGTGTATATGTATAAGGTATATGCGTATGGGTGAATGCAAGGTATGTGGGTATGTATGTGAGTTATGTGCAACTGTGTGAGGGATGTACACAAGGGTGTATGTAAGGTGTGTGCACATGTATATGAATGCACGTGCTGTGTGCACAGGTGGATGAAGTGTATACACATGGGGGATGCACCTGCTGTGTGCACAGGTGGATGAAGTGTATACACATGGGGGATGCACCTGCTGTGTGCACAGGTGGATGAGGTGTATACACATGGGGGATGCACCTGCTGTGTGCACAGGTGGATGAGGTGTATACACATGGGGATGCACTTGCTGTGTGTGGGTGCAGAGATAGAAGGAGGGTACTGAGTGTCCTGTCCATTGCTCTCTACCTTCGTCTCCTTAAGACAGGGTCTTTCACTGAACTGGAGCTGGGCTTCTGTAGCAAGCTCCAGTGATCCTCCCATCTCTGCCCCTGACAACACTGGAGTTACAGCTACATATGCAACCACACCCATATTTTTACATGGATGCTGGGATCCTAACTCAGGTCTTGTGCAACAAGAGAGCATTCTTACCCTCAGAGCCATTCCCTCAGTCTGTTTCAGTCCACTCAACCCATTCCTAGGCTCTACCACACATCTAAAAGTACTTCACAAAAAAGCAAATCACATGACGAAGTATTTGTAGAATGTTAATGTTTATTTTTAAAATCTAAAGGTAAGGGCTGTTGTTTGTCTATAAAACTCACTTTTTTAAAATAAAAATAAAGCCTCACATAGCCCAGGCTAGCTTCAAACTCATTTTGTATCCAAGGATGGCCTTGAGCTTCTGATCTTCCTACCTCCACCTCCTCCTGAATGCTGGGATGGCAGACACGCATACCTGCCCACAACACTTTATACAGCACTAAGATACTAGTACCTGGATCTCAGGCTTCTTGCCTCCCAACCATGAAGAATAAACTACTCTAACATGGTACTGTGTTATCTACAGCAGCACAAATACACAGCAAACACACAAATGCACTGACAAAAGCAGTGAAGGTCTGGCCTGCAGGTTCCTTCTGCAGGAAGTTTACTGTGCCAATCAGTCCAGTCAGAGGACCCATGGAGAGCAAAACAATGCCACACAAGCACCTCAGCCCCAACATATCAAAGCTGAAGCTTCCACCATTGTTCATCACAGCTTGCCAACCAAAAGGATGAAGCATGGGCCACAGCACCAAGGCCATGGGATGAACTACCCCTGGAGACTCTGGGGCACAGCCTCTGGGACTGTGGTAACATCTGTGCAAAGAACAGAACAGACCCACCTATTGCCAGGCAGTGCTGTACACCTTTACCCCAGCACTTGGAAAGCAGAGGCAGGTTGATCTATCTCTAGGAGTTCAAGAGCCAAGGCTACACAGTGAGACTCTGTCTCAAAAAGAAAAGAACTGACCTGCCAGCTACTTAGCAGGCTCTTTTCTCAGGCCTGCAATCTGAGAAGCAAGCTAAGCAGGGCAGGCCATGGGACTCTTGCCAAGACCAGAACAAGACCAAGGCTCGCATATGCAGGAAAGCACCGCCAGGCCCAGCTCTGCCTCCCTAAGGCACAAACAGAACAGAGAGCAGCAGACAGCCTGTGAGGTTTCTTATTACCTTCTGCACAAACCATCCCAGAAGCATGCACTTGGAAGGTTTTACAGTCAGTAACTGGAATTGGCCTCTAGGGAATGGAGACAGACACATTTCTTTGGAAACCACAGTTTCTCCTGTAAGCATCCCTCCATTGTGCACCCCATGCTCAAAGTCCTCCTCAAGTCAGAAACATTCTCAGGAATGTGCAACACATGTGGGTACTGGGAACCAAACCCATGTCCTCTGGAAAAATGGCTAGTGCTCTTAACCACAGAGCCATCCCTCAAGCCCCACAGCATGATTCTTAAGGAAGGTACCTTAAATAGCCACTAAGGAGGCTGGGCAAGGTGTTGGGATCTACCATATGAACCTAAGTCTTAAAGAGGGAGGTGGGCTATCCTAAGCACAGGTAGTGAACTCCAGAACACAGGTCATCAGGGATACATCTGTGAGTTCATGGAAGACCTGAATGCTAGTCAGGCAATGCAGTTGGAGGACATAGTCTTTTCACCATGAGAGCACATGGGGCCACAAGGTAAACTGCTAAATTCTGTAGCCCATTGGTCAAATAACATATCCAAATACATCAGAATGATCTAGATTCACTCCAGCCACATGAAAACACAAAGCACCAAGTGTGTGCAAGACAGAGCTGTAGACACATCTAGAGGGGATTTGCAGCTTTAAATGCTTCTAGTAGCCAGGCATATTAGTAGTGGTGTACACCTTTAATCCTAGCATTTGGGAGGAAGAGACAGGTGGGTCTCTGAGTCCAGAACCAGCCTGGTCTACTGAGCAAGTTGCAGGACACGCTCCAAAGCTACAAAGAAACCCTGTCTCAAAAAACAAAAACAAACAAACAAAAAATGCTTCTAGTAAGAAGAAATAAGAGGAGATAAGCCTCCACCAAAGGAGCTAGAAAGAGTAGAACAAGGGGCTGGGCGCTGGTGGTGCACGCCTTTAATCCCAACACTTGGAAGGCAGAGGTAGGTGGATCTCTGTGAGTTCGAGGCCAGCCTAGTCTATAGAACGAGGTCCAGGACAACCTCCAAAACAATACAGAGAAACCCTGTCTGGAAAAAAAAAAAAAGAGTAGAACTAGGGAAAAAAATCAAGTACTGAAATTATTGAAAAGAAAAAGCAGCTTTCTGTGAGATGGCAGAGCAGGTAAAGGTGCTTGTCCCCAAACCTCATGCCCTGAGTTAAATCTCAGGAAGCAACATTCTGAAAGGAGAGCTGACTCCCCAAAAGCAGTCCTCAGACCCCCAAATGTATGCCATGGTAAATATACACACACAAACACACCACACACAATAAATAATACAAAAAGAAAAAAAATTTTTTTTTTTGGTTTTTCGAGACAGGGTTTCTCTGTGTAGCTTTGGAGCCTATCCTGGCAGTCGCTCTTGAGACCAGGCTGGCCTCGAACTCACAGAGATCCACCTGCCTCTGCCTCCCGAGTGCTGGGATTAAAGGCGTGTGCCCCCCCCCTCTGGCCTGTATATTTTTTTTTTTTAACTTAAAACATTTTTTTTTTTTTTTTTTGAAGCTGGGCATTGGTGCAGCACTCGGGAGGCAGAGGCAGGGGGGTCTTTGTGAGTTCGAGACCACCCTGATCTACAAGAGCTAGTTCCAGGACAGCCTCCAAAGCCACATAGAGAAACCCTGTCTCGAAAAACCAAAAACAAACAATACATATACAGGACTGGAGATGGCTCAGCAGTTAAGAGCACTCATTTCTCTTCCAGAGGATACAGATTCAATCCCCAGCACCCATGTGGCAGCTCTCAACTGTCTGTAACTCCAATTTCAGAGGATCTGACACCCTCACACAGATATACATGCAGGCAAAACACTAATGCACATGAAATATAAATAAAAAATTTTAAATACATATACAAATAGGAACAAACCTATGACCCACACATTTGAATAAAAACAACACAGGAACCCAAGGAACCAGTTTTCCATTTGGGATTTAATGCTGACATGTTTAACCCTGTGGGACTTCTCTACTGTTTTTTCAGAGAGCTTTTGAAACTGCTGTTTCAAAACCATTCCTTAACAGCTTCAAACCAGATACACCTTTCTTTTCTTTTCAGTGGGCCACACTAAACAGCCCTATTTGGCCTAGAACTCACTATGTAGATGAAGCTGGCCTCAAACTCACAAAGATACACCTGCCCCTGCCTTCTAAGTGCTGGAATTAAAGACATGCACCTAGGAAAGATTCAATTTTTGAAGATGTAAATATAGAGGAACTTGGTCACTTAGTGATCCTAGTTGCTCAGCACAAACAAAAGCTGAAGAGTTAGCAAGAGGGCTCAGCGGGCAAAAGTACTTAGTGCACACCTGATGGCCTGAGTTCCATCCCAGAACACATAGCAGAAGGAGAGAATTGACTCTTGAGAGTCGTCCTCTGGTCTCCTACAAGTGCCATGTCATGCACTTGGCCACGCACGCACGCACGCACGCACGCAAGCTGAGCTTACAGCCAAGGGGCACCATGAAACCAAATCCAGGGGTGTGTGCTTTCCACTTGCCATCTATGCAAAACAGCAAATGATTCAGTTGATAAAGTAGAGGACCTGAGTTCAATCCCCTAGAATCCACATAAAAAAAAAAAAAAAACACATGGTGGCCTGTGCTGGAAATCCTAGTGCTGAGGAGGGAGAGACCAGAGAATCCTTGGGGCTTGCTGGCCACCCAGCCAACCAGAAAATCCCAGGTTCAATGAGAAACTGTCTCAATAAATAAATAAGGATTAAGGAAGTCACCAGATATCAAACTCTGTCCTCAACAGGCGCCCATTTGCAGCAGTACCTCCCTAGTGCTGGGATTATAAGCATGCACCACTACACCAAGCTGCTGGTGAATGTAGTCCAAGCACCCTGACTCCACCGATTCCTACAACAGCCTCCCAGGTTAGAGCAACCTCCTGGAATCAGAGTACAGGCCAAAGATACTGTGTACCTCAGGACAATCCCAACCACTCTCTCAAGAGACTAGGAGTCTTCAGGCTGGACAGGCTAAAGTCACTTCCCTGTCATTGTCCGCTCCCTCCATCTGTAACTGAAAGACCTCAGGCAGCTTTACCTGTGCCCTCACTACTGGACTTGGTTGGAAATGAACCAACCTCCCCCCCCCCAAAAAAAAACATGCAAACTGGTGGCACAAACAGTCAGCATGTGTTAGATTCTGTATCCCATTTCATCCCAACACCACCAAAATACAACACAGGTTTCTAATGTCAGCTTCACCCTTCTGTTGGGGGAAGCCAAGCCCTAACCAAGCCAAATACTCTCAGGACCAAACAAGGCACAAAACAGGAACTCCGTTGGGAAGGCCAAGTCTCACTGCTGCATCCCAACACCCAGAAGAGGCTCTAACCAGGACCCAGCAGACAAAGTCAGTAAGGTGGTGGTGCTCTTTCACAGGCAAAGTATATACTAATCTTTCCATCAATAGCTCACTGCCACACTGATACCAATGAAAGCACAGCTGTCACTGCAACCAACTGCAACTCGTCCTTCCATACGCTTCATGAGTGTTGTAGTCTGTGCTCTCTTGCTGTGATGAAACAGAGAGCAAACCAACCTGAGAGGAAAGCTTACATTTTGTATTATACATCACTGAGTGTAGTAAGGGCAGGAACCTGGAGGCAGGAACTGAAGCAAAGGGCCCTGGAGGAATGCTGTTTACTGCTTGCTCAGCTTGCTTTCTTTTATGACCCAGGACCTGCCCAGGACCAGCACCAGCCATAGAGAGCTGGACCCTCCCACATTAATCATTAACCAAGAAAATGCCCCACAGATGTGCCCACAGGACAATCTGATGGAGACAATTCCTCAACTGAGGTTCCCTCTTTCCAGGTGACTCTAGCTTATGGCAAACTGACAAAAATCAACAAACACAATGAAAAACGCTCCTGACTATTCCTTTGGGGAAAACTGTCAAGTGAACAGGTAGACACAGCCTTCCCTCCCCTGTTCTTGACATCAAACCTCACAGTCAGGTGCCTACAACAAGAAGAGTTGTCCCTGTGTCCACACCCATCCTTCTCCCAGGAAAGGACAGCAAACTGTTCTGAGAAGGAACTGAGGTATTGGATGAGGAGGAGACTACACTGCCGAACTCAGGGGACACCTGACACTGGGAATAGCTTTCCTGAGAGGCAGAGCAACTCTCATCTGCTCTCTTTGTATCTGCAAAAAAAAAGCTAACTATAAGCTTATAGCATACAATTTATCCAAAATAATTCCATTCCCTCCACCATCTGACCCCACTCCTCAACATTCCATCTTGGTATAATCAGCACCGCCCGACCCTGGGGCACATAGGATGCTCTAACCCAATAGGTGCTGTTTTACACTGTCTTAATGTGCAGCATTACATTCAATCATCACATCATTGGAGCAGGGGCTCCCTCCTTTCTCACCGGTGAAGAGACTAGTGCAATGAAACTCAGTAAGGTGCCCAGTGAAGATGGCAGAGGCCAGGCTGGTGGTTCCAGTTTCTCACTCCAGCATGAAGGAGGCTCAAGGCAGGAGGATGCCATGAGTCTAAGACTAGCCTGAGCCACAGAGTGAGATCCTGTCTCAAAGACCTAGAAGGATGTAGCAGGAGGGAAGCAGCAGGTGACCTGTCATCTGTAGATGATTGGGACAGTCAGCTCTGGCATTACCTGATGAGCACAGCGCCTTGGAGGTGGGCCAGGGATGTCAACTTTTGTCCAGGTATCCTTTCTGATACTGTAGATGTAGAGTTCATTATACATGAAGGTCTGCAGGAAGGAAGCAGATCATCAAGGTCACAAATGACATGAAGACAGCAATGACAACAGCAGCAGTGCATATGCTCCACTCCAGGAAGCTTATATACTAACCACACCAGTGCAGACAGGCCATGTGTAAGCCCAAGACTGTCTGGGACGTCATGACAGATGCTCCTGACTTGCCACAGGCTTAAGTCTCAATGAACTTACCAACAGGTAAAAATACTAAATGGAAGATGCACTGTGCATGCCTAACCCATCAAATCTCCCCCTCTCCTCCCAGCCCACCTTAACATGGGCTCAAAACACTAGCCTCAAAATTGCTGGCAGACATCTAACACACCACCTGGTTTTTAAAAAAGCACTGCCACATCGCAAAACCATGTTCTGACATGACAAACACAATGGCTGCATCAGTACCCTTACCCCACTCTCAACTTACAGCTAACAAACAAAACCCTTACAAGTTAGAGACCACGTGTCATTCATTATGCCAATTGACTCCTCAGGCCCCAAGAGCCTCTGCTGCACAGCAAGATTCATCACTCTGAATTTAAGCCAGTTTTTACGTGCATGAAAATACAGAGAGTGAGCTGGAGAAGTGGAGACAGACCTGGAGCTTACCACAGGCTACTGGAGGAGCCCACACTTTCAACCACTTTCCCTCCACACTCCAAAACTCAGGGCTTTCTGGCCCCACAGTTCACTAACATGTTCTCTATTCAAGCAAAACAACTCTCTGCACACACATGGCCCAGTGGAGTTAGGCTCCACTGACTAGAAGAAACCAGGACCCCTGCAGCAGCACTGAAGTCCCTGTCCCTAAGGGATGCTGCTGACTGGCCAAGCACAACCCACATCAGGCCTGACACCTAGAATGTGGGGAGTACAAGAGGAAAGTGACAGGACAGAAGCATATTTATATCACCAATTTAAATTGACTTCAAATGAGCACTGAAAAAGTTAGGAGAAAAAGAAAAACATATATACTTTACTTTTTGGCCATTGAAATATTCACCTCCGAAAAGGATTAATTCATCTTTCTCAGGATGAGCAGACAGGGAAGCATTTAACCTGCAAGACAAAAGCCATAGAGGAGCAACATTAGAGAACATGACACCAGGCTAAGCACAGACTCCCCCCTTCCCTTCCTTGACCCCACTCCAGAGGACAGGACCAAGAATCACCCACCACCTCCTGGCCCGTATATGTATTTTTTTAACTTAAAACAATTTTTTTTGAAGATCCTGCACAGTGATATGCCCAAGTATGTGCCATAACGTTCACCCTAGAAGATGCTTCTCAGAAGAAAAATGGGGATTAAGGTCAAGTTGTGCCTGGGGAATCGGAACCCGCGTGGGGATTCACTGAACTCAGGTGAAAAGAGTTAACGTGACACAATTATGTCACATGTATAAGACTGGGGATGTGGGGGAGAATAATCAGAATCAAATGCATCTATGACACGGTCAACGAAGAAGCTAAATAATAATATAAAGAACAGTGTCCCAAACTCCTGGCACTCCACATCTTCTCATTGAGTATGTAAATGCCTGAGCTGCAAGCACCAACCATACGGACCTGACACAACCCAGTGCCAGGTCCTTCCCTGCTACTAAGCCATACCTGAACCTACATACTTTCTTGTGGTTTGGACATAAAAATTTCCCAAAGGCTCAGGCTTGCTCCCCAGCAGGTAGCCCTACTGAGAGGTAATGGATCGGGAAGAGGCTGACACATTAGCCACTGCTGGAGGAATAAGTCACTGGAGTGGACTTCTGAAGGTGCATCTTTCATGAAGCCTTCTTCCATCCTGTTCCCTGTTTCATGAGAGAAGCAGCTTTGCTCCTTCACATCATTTTGTTCTGCCTTTCCAAGGGGCCAAAAACATGAGCTCTGGTAACCCTGTCCTCCTTAAGCTGACTCTCAGATATTTTGCGACAGCGAAAGAAAGCATGAGTAACATGATTTTATAACACAACTGAAGGCTGGAGAGATGGTTCAGAGGTTAAGAATACTGGCTGTTCTTCCAGAGGTCCTGAGTTCAATTCCCAGCAACCACACAGTGGCTCACAACCATCTATAGTGACGTCTGGTGCCCCCTTCTGGTGTGCAGGCACACATGCAGGTGGAACACTGTATACATATAAATAAATAAATCTTCACACACACACACATAAAGGTGGGAGGTCAGAAAATATTTATGCCATCAAGGAGGATGTGACAATTCCACCTCTTGTTCCCTCCTACCAGGAAGCATTCTCTGAGGGCATTTTAAACTATACCCTGCCATTAAACCTAATTTTGGATTAATGTTACTTTAGAAAAGTGCCAAATCATCATCAGAAAATAATAATCCATATTCAGAGTGAAGACAAATCATCTACACTCAGAGTGAATTTCTGAGTGAAGGTGTCAGGCCTACTTCAACAACCAGATGGGTCCAGACAGCATACCAACTGAAGAGAAAGTAAAAGCCAGTCCAGCACAATTTACCACCACCACTTCACTCCAAGGCTCAACACTGACTCCCCCCCCCCCCCCCCCCCCCCCCCCCCCACACACACCCTAGACAGGTAAAGCCACATGCAAATCAGAGGGATTCAGGCTCTGGAGCCATCACTGAAGGTAATTATCACATTCCAAAGAGCTCCCCCACCCCATCTTGGGCTTCCACTCAGGCAAGTTATGGCCGGACAAGCTCAATCCCAGTCTGGGAAAATGAATCACTCATGTATCAACTAAACAAAATGGGACAAAAGGCAGAGAGGCTTACACATTTTCCCTATCTGAACAACACAGCTTATTACACCCTTTCTCTATCCCAAATGACAGTTCACGAAGGCACTGGCCCTTTCCTGATGATTCAGAGCTGAATAGTACAGACAAGTATTAGAGAGCCATAAATCAAATTAAAAAGGAATCTGATGGCTGAAGGGGAGGAAGCAATCCAATGGAGACCCAAGTTGTTCATTCAGCCCATTTTATGTATGAATTCTACAAAAGCCTTGGGACCTTACTCATAAGTTATAAATTCACTTAGAATGGCAAGTTTAGAGTTTCTGTTTAATAAGCTTTCATATGGAAATATAAAAGCATTAAGAACAGCAAAAATTGATGGTGCTCTTCAGTCTACATCTGTGAAACATTCTTAAAATAAATGAGAACCAAAGGGTAGCTCACTGGGGCCCTGTCTTTGTCACAATCTGTGGCAAGGGCAGAATACTGAGAGAGCACCTCCCCATGCCCCTGTAGAGCAGGGGATGACAGCCAGCTCTTCCTAAAAATTGGGAAGCAGAATTCTGAGGCCAGCCTGATCTACAAGTGAGTTCCAGAACAGCCAGGGTTATATGGAAACCCTGTCTCAAAAACCCCTAGTCCCCCTCCCCCCCAAAAAAAAGGAGAAACAAGGTTTGCTCACTTACCGTGGGGTGGGCGGAGAACATGGCGTCTCTGTGACCTGGGTCTTTTTTGCATCCAGGGTCTGGAAATGGGCTATGAGGGCCTCCAGGTCTTCCTAAAGATCCAAAAGTAGCTACATGTGAGACTCTATCTAACCTGTCTTAGAGTCAAAGGCATAGCCAGCTTTTGTTCCATTGGTCCGACTAGACTGGGATCCAATCACACCTGAGTCCTAACATAGGTCTGAAAACGCACAGACTTGACACACTCAGGAAATATTCGCTGTGATACCAATGGCAGCTTTCTGTAGGTGCAGATGCATGCATGCCTTTCCTACCAACCAAGGGCTTTCTATGAAGGGGATCCCACTCTGACCACACTACCTTCAATGGCCTCTTGACAACCTGTTTGTACCAACTGCCCGCCTTGCTGTCTACATAGCCATGCTTGGAATTTTCTCTTGCTTACTGGTTTTCAGATCCCACTCCCATCCCCAGAACAACATATGTGCTCCAGAAGAAGAGGACTTTTGTCCTTTAAAACAGTGCTGGACCTATAGTCCACCACTCACTAGCCCCTATTTCTCAGCTGTGACAGTACACCTAGACAGTAAGGTATCAGTTCACAAGCATGCTATACAGCACTGAAACCAAGCCTGCCTTCCCACACACATACCCAGTGCCCACTCTCGTAAGTTGTCCTAGCTTGCTTTCCATTGCTGTGATCAAAAGCAACTTGGGAATGAAAGAGTTTATTGCATCTTTTTTTTTTTTTTTTTGGTTTTTCGAGACAGGGTTTCTCTGTGGCTTTGGAGGCTGTCCTGGAACTAGCTCTTGTAGACCAGGCTGGTCTCGAACTCACAGAGATTCACCTGCCTCTGCCTCTCGAGTGCTGGGATTAAAGGTGTGTGCCACCACCACCCGGCAGTTTGTTGCATCTTAAAGCTTATATTCCATCATGAAAGGAACTCAAGGCAGGAAATGAAGCAGAGACTGCAGAGGAAAGCTACTTACTGCCCACCACACAGACACACACAGCTTGCTCAGCTTGCTTTCTTAACAACCAGGACCTGGGGCTGGAGAGATGGCTCAGAGGTTAAGAGCACTGACTGCTCTTCCAGAGGTCCTGAGTTCAATTCCCAGCAACCACATGGTGGATCACAACCATCTGTAATGAGATCTAGTGCCCTCTTCTGGTGTGCAGATATACATGGAAGCAGAATATTGTATACATAATAAATAAAAAAAAATCTTAAAAAAAAAATTCCAGGACTACCTGTCTAGGTACAGAACTGCCCACAGTGTAGATCCTTCTACATCAATTACTAAGCAAGACAATACCCCCACAGACTTGACAAGCCAATTTTTAAATGTATTATTTTATGTGTGTAGGTGTTTTGTCTGAATGTTTGTCTGTGCACCATGTTCAAAACTTGTGCCCACAAAGGCCAGACAGATGTGAGCCACCATGTGGGTGCACAGAATCAACCCGGGATCCTCTGAAAGACCAACAAATGCCCTTAACAGCCAAGCCACCTCCCCAGCCCCCTACAGGCCAATGTTATGGATCTATTTTCTCAACTGAGGTTCCCTCTTGCCAGGTTATTAGGATGGGAGCCCAGGAAATCCTGTGCCTGGAAAACTACTGGGCATACCCTGGACATCACAACTGCCCCATGTGAGAAAGACCTATGAGAAGAGCAAGTAAGGTGCGTAGCCCGAAGTTCACAGCTGATCCATCTACAGTTCCTGGGATAATGGGGGTGTATGGAAATAGGATCGTGGAGCCACCAACAGTTCCAGCCACTTGTGCCGCTGAGCGGTGGTGCCACGTGCTTTTAGTCCCAACACTCCGGAGGCAGAGGCAGGTGAATCTTTATGTTCAAGGCTAGCCTGCTCTACAGAGCGAGTTCCAGGACAACCAGAGCTACACAGGGAAACTTTGCCTCGAAAAAAAATTAAAAATTCTACTTGTGGCTCACTTCCTAAGGCTGCTGGAGGAATATCTGCTCTCTTTTGGAGAAAAAATAATAATAATAAGCACAGTACAGTTAAGACTTTAGGCCGGGCGGTGGTGGCGCACGCCTTTAATCCCAGGTCTCCAGAGGCAGAGGCAGGCGGATCTCTGAGTTCGAGGCCAGCCTGGTCTCCAGAGCGAGTGCCAGGATAGGCTCCAAAGCTACACAGAAAAACCTTGTCTCGAAAAACCAAAAAAACAAAAAAAAAACAAAGACTTTAGTCACAGAACGCACACCTGAACAAAGTAGGAGTCACTCAACTCCAGGTTCTCCTCCTCTACTAAACCCCATCACGCTGCTTCCCTCTACCAGGAAGGGAAGCAAGCAAAACCGAACGGCGTCCGGAACAGATCTAATCTTCAAAGGAAGAGTGGGAGAGAGCGACCGGGCAAACGAGGAGTACCAGTGCTGCGGAGAGGCACGGGAGAAACGGAGAGGCCCAAGGGTGCTGGGCTCGGCGCAGGCCCGCCACCCGCAGACCCCGGGCACAACTCCGGCTCCCGGTCTCACGCCTGCAGTCCCAGGGCACGCCACGCCTCCCTCCACGGCCCGTCCCTCCGAGCCCCGCTCACCTCCTCCTTCCGAGAGCGCTTGGACACCTTCTTCTCCATCTTGGCGGCCGTCTTTTCCGCGCCGCGGCCCTTCTTCTCTTTCTTGCCCTTCTTACCCATCACGCCAGTTCTTAAGCGGCACCAGGGAACCACCGAAGGAGCAAGCGGCGTTCTGCCCAGCCGGAAACCAGCGGCACGCTAAATAAAGGTCACTTCCTGTCCGTTTCTCTGGTGTTCCGTCAAGCAGCCGACTCCAGGAATACTTTGGGTCCGCCAGCCGGTGCGTCCCGCCAGCCGGCGCATCTCAGGCCTCTCTTATACATGGCTGGCTGCTCCTGGGTACAGTAGCTAATTGGGTGTCTCGAGGTCTCATTCCTCACAGACATTTCCACTCACTTAGGGGATTCCTGACCCGAGTTAAGGCAGCCCCATTCCCTACCCCATGTAAAATGCTCCAGGCGCTGTCAGGCTCTCGAGGCACTGTGCTGAGCCAGAGAACAGTCTTTGCCCTTCTGCTGGCGTGGTTCCACTGGACGGACCGACATGTCTATCCACTGGGAGGCCCGGGCTGGTGATGTCAATCTAGCCTTCCAACGGTTTATGGTATGACAAATATGTGATAGGAAATTAATCTCAGGACAGCATCCAAAGCCCAGAGAAACCCTGTCTCGAGAGGAAAAAAAGGGGGGGAGGAGGATTAATCTCCAGAATTTGACTCAAATGGCAAAATGGAAGACAGATCCTGCGGTTTAAAAGAGCAGAGTGAAATGCTCATTGCCTAGAGGGTGTCGTCTTTGGGCTGCACTCAAGGAATGACGCAAAGCAAGGACAAGGGCAAGCAAAATATCAGCAAAGGGAACACAAATTATCCTCCTTCTCTGTGGAAATGCTGCCAAAGCACAGCCTTTAAAGAAACTGCCTCGAATCTGGCCAATCACTTATCACTGAAGCGCTAAGCAGACGTGAGCTCCCAACTCAACTCCAGATTTTTCATAAACCTAATTCTTGAGAAGAAAAGTTACTTTTGAGGAAAACAACGACATTGTGTGATTTTTTCCCGAAAAGATACACAGAAACAACTTTCCACCCCAAATAGGACATTAAAAGATAAAAGAAATGTGCTCCTTTTGGCTGCAGATACACTAGAATTGGAGCAGTACGGACCCCACGAAAGGGTGACATGCAAATTCGTGAAATGTTCGTATTTTTCAAAGCTGAATTGAGATTATTATCCTCAGAAAGCTCTTCTGGGCTAGAACCTATCTGCAGTGCTGTCCTAGGTGTGCATCCGCCAACAACCCTACCTCACTTCCAAGGGAAAAGCCAGTCAGGACAGTATTTTTGCCAGTCAAAAGCCATTGGTTTGGGGGGTTATCTAGGGGGTGTTTGGGGAGGGGAAAGAACCTGATCAAGATATATTGTATGGGCCGGGAGTTGGTGGCGTACACCTTTAATCCTAGCACTCGGGAGGCTGAGGCAGGCAGATCTCTGTGAGTTTGAGGCCAGCCTGGTCTACATAGCGAGTGCCAGGATAGGCTCCAAAGCCACAGAGAAAGCCTGTCTCGGAAAAAACAACAACAAAAAAGATATATAGCTGAGCAGTGGTGGTGCACCCCTTTAATCCCAGCCCTTGAGAAGCAGAGACAAGCAGATCTCTGTAAGTTCAAAGCCAGCCTGGTCTACAAAGTGAGTTCTAGGACACAGAGAAACCCTGTCTCAACAAACAAATAAAAAGGTCACACTAGCATGGGCAGTGACTATAAAAACTGTATCACTAGTGTCCCCAGTGAACCTTCCACTTCTTATATAGTCTCGAAAACATCTGTAAAGCACCTGCAGACGAGGAGGCAGGAGGGAGCAAGGGTCTGAAGGTCCCCTTTTCTACAAGAGAATGTTAATAGGCCCAGTTTTGTGTAAGAATATTAACAATCTCTGTTTTCCACGATATATAACAGCGCTCCCTCCTCAGGCCTGTGAAAGGGAGAGCATATCCCCTGTGGAAGATTTAGAAGGATCTGGAAGAGGCAGAGGTTGATGCTTTTATTATCTGGAAAGATCTTTTATGATACATACAGGTCGCAGTGATTCATGGGAAGTTGAAATTTTCATTACCAGGAAAGAAGCAGAATAAAACAGTTATTTTGGGGGAGGGGCATTCGTTGTTGTTGTTGTTGTTGTTGTTGTTCATTTGCTTGTTTTATTTTGTTTTTTTTTTGAGACAGAGTTTCTCTGTGTAGTCCTGGAACTCACTCTGTAGACCAGGCTGGTATCAAACTCACAGAGATCCACCTGCCTCTGCCTCCCGAGTGCTGGGATTAAAGTCATGTACCATCACTGTCCATCTAAAACAGTTCTGATTTCAAGACAGAGATAGGAATATCATGCCTGGAGGACAGAGTTACACTACAAATGAGAGAGAGAAAAAAGGTAGAACCAGATGAAGTCCTTTCATGACCTCCAGCATTGCTTGCAGATCATGTGTGATGGCAGAGGGAGAAAAACAGAAAACAGTTACCTGGTCAGAAAGAAGCAGAAATATGACCTGAGTTTCTAGACATTGTTGTCATTGTAGCAACAGATTATATCCTGCCCACTGCTCAGGGGAACAGTTATGTCCCCTTATGCTGTCACCTTTAAAATATCCCTAATCCTCCCTGACTTCTCTGAGAATATTAGGTAACTTCCAAGCAGCAGTACTGAGTACATCACACAGTCCACGGTATATAACAGTGCTCCCTTCTCAGGACTGTGAAAGGGAAAGCATATCCCCTGTGGAAGATTTAGAAGGATCTGGAAGCAGCTGGGATTAATGCTTTCATTATCTGGAAGAATCTCGAAGCTAAATTGGAAAGCTCGTGGATGATACATGCCACAGTGATTCACAGGAGGTTGAAATTTTCATTACCAGGAAAGAAATGGACTAGAAGAGCTAAAATGAGATCAGAATCCTAAAATAGGAAAAAGATTAAGTACCAAGTCCTATTTTAGTAAAATTCATATTTTTGAAAATGTAATAGATTGTCTTAAATGTAATGTCACTTTTAGACTCTTTTATATACGCGGCCAGGCGCCCTCTGCTGCCTTCAGCTTGAATTTCAGAGAAGAAAAAAGTCCACTAACATAGAGGACTTGAAAGAGAGGGTGCTGAGTGCTAACCACCTTCACCACAAATAACCAATGTGACTGCAAGGGCTGAGTCACTTCATTTAACATTTACTGAAAGTTCTACAGGAAGGGTGAGAAATCATTCCAGGCCACAGGAGGCAGGCACACCAGACAGCAGGCTTTCATGTATCCAGTCAGGCAGGCGTATGAAGACATCCACCAAAGGAGCCGGGTCCAATATGGGAATAAGAAAAGGGGCTGGTGGGGTAGAGAGATGGCTTAGCAGTTAAGAGCACTGGGTCAGTCCCCTGGCACCTACATGGTGGTTTACAACCATCTGTAACTCCAGTCCAGGGGATCCAGTGCCCTCTCCTGACTCTCTCAGGCACTGCACATTTAGCATGTGGCACACAGACATTCACATAGGCAAAGCACTCACACACATAAAACGAGAATAAATCTTGAAAGGAAAAAAAAAAGGAGGTGGAGAGATGTCTCAGCGGTTAAGAGCACTGGCTGTTCTTCCAGAGGTCCTGAGTTCAATTCCCAGCAACCACATGGTGGCTCACAACCATCTGTAATAAGATCTAATGCCCTCTTCTGTGTGCAAGCATATATGCAGGCAGAACACTATATATAATAAATAGGTATATCTTTAAAGATAATAGATAGATAGATAGATAGATAGATAGGTACATAGATAGATAGATAGATAGATAGAGATAGATAGATAGATAGATAGATAGAGATAGATAGATAGATAGATAGATAGATAGATAGATAGATAGAGGTGTGAGGTGGTGGTGCACCCCTTTAATCCCAGCACTCAGGAGGCAGAGGCAGGTGGATCTTTAACTTAAAGGCCAGCCTGGTCTACAGAGTGAGTTCCAAAAGAGCCAGGGCTTCATAGAGAAACCCTGTCTGAAAAAAAAAGGAAGAAAGAAAGATGAAATGAAGGAAAGAAAAGATAGAAGGGGATGAAAACAAACCCATGTAATAGATGCTGTATCTCAATTTCTAGTAGTTTGGAGTGGTGGGGTATAAACCCAGTTTTGTATCACACTGGAAGCTAAAGTTTTCCTCTGTAGCACATTATTTAAAGACATACTGTCTGGGGATCTTTGTGTTATCCCAGGGCCTTGTGCGTGCTAGGCAGGTGCTAGGCGAGTGCTCTACCTCTAACTTACATCCCAGCCCCATGTCACTGTCTTGTTGCTGCTCATCTCTAATTCCTGCTTCTGTAGTTGGAAAATGCACTCTATTGTTTCTGGTCCTTCCCTGCATCAGTGAGTTGGAGTGTGTTCAGTGTGCTCCTGGAGTGACTGATTCTGCCACTGTGTTCTGCAGCTCTCACGGCAGCTGATTAATTAACTGATTGGTCAGAAGCTCATTGTTTAGACTGTCTATGGTAGCAGTTCTCAACCTTCCTGATGCTGCATCCCTTAGATACAGCTCCTCATGTTGCAGTGACCCCCAACCAGAACATTATTTCCATTGCTACTTCATAACCATAATCTTGCTACTGTTATGAATCGTAATATAAATATCTGTGTTTTCTGATGGTTTTAGGTGATCTCTGTGAAAGGGTCATTTGACACCCCCTACCAAGGGTTTCGACCCACAGGTCAATAACCACTGCTCTATAGCCTGATGTATTGTTGTTGACTTCTCCTATTTGTTTCAGTCAAACCCAGAGAGGAGGATATTATAGTTTCCAACCATAGGAAAGATTTATACAGCTATCCTTTGTAAACAACAAACTACATGTGCTTAAAGTGTGTACACGTGGCTCCACT